CAGAACATTTTCCACGTCATTGTGTAAGCAATATGCACTTTAACAGGCTGTTTGGAGTAAGTGACTAGCCGTCATTAGTTGTTTAAACTGTGTAGCAGAAAAGCTATATTAATAGTTTTGAAAGGGGTCTATACAATCAATAATTTCTATTTACAAAACACAGCTTTATTACATTACAGTCAGGCCCTGTAAGTTCGACATTGAGGAAAACTAAGAACCTGTTTTATGTTGCATAGTGTATATTGATTTGATTAATTTGAAACTGAAATTCGCCTTGGTAGCGTGTATTAGTAATGTAGATATTGTGGAAGATAAGTGGAAAATATAGAACAAAAAAATGAATGAAGCAAGGCGATGTTGCAATCGGATCTTTAAATGATCATTTTATTGTTGCAAACAAACACTGTGCCTAAAACAATTGATATGTTGGTTTGCTTTATTAAACGAACTACATTTATCGTTATGTTGAACTGCCTACAACCGTTATGCTGAGGTCATTCACGTGCGATTTTTCGTTTTCACGCATACTTTTGATGTTTATAGCGTGAGGGTAACGTACACTGCTGTCTTGAGGCACTTCTGGCATTGCCAACTTGGTGCTTGCTAAAAAACATGGCATTTTCTCGTTATTTGCCGACAATTATCAGCCACTGCTTAACTGTTGCAAGCTGCTCCTGCGTGATTGTATCACAAAAAAATTGCGAAAAAAAATACAGAAAAAAGTGTGAAATTCGCGACGTCAGGCATACCTCTTTATTAAGTTCCCACGATTTTCGCCCATGGGTTCAAGTCTCTTCTTTTCCCCATGCACTTGGTTCCATTATCCTTTGTCTGTATGTGTGCGTGTGTTGTATACTCTTGCAGGTAGTAAAGCATGAGCCGTGTGTCGTTCGACCAGGTAAGAAAAGGGGAGGTCAAGCCGATTGCCCCCAAATTGGCTTTGCGCCTTTCCCTTTTCCATACTTACTCCCTTTTTCATTGATCCTGCCTACCATCACGGTTTTGCTTTGGGATGGCATTTGGGTTCACTTTTTACGCTTCACCTTGTCGTGACCACATCCATATTGGTAATTTACACCCTCTTACGCTCTTGCTACATGGGTAACTTTTAACCGTGGTTGAACCCAATGGAGCGTTACGTCACCTGGCGTAATCCACCGCAGTTATGCGGGCTAAAGATGCAGTCGTGTCCATTACTATAGTACAGATTTCATTTTGAAATATTATTAGACAAAATTTTCGTATGTTTAAAGGGACACTAAGGAGCAGAATGATTTATTCGCGTATTAGTAATGTACAATTTCACAATCCCGAAAACGCCACTCTTACGGGGACACAGCGCTTAGTAAGTGAGAAAAACCTGAGATTCCGGCACGAAACACAGTGACGTAAGAAATTTTCGAAAACGTCTAGTGGGTTTACCATAACTTCCAATCAATAAAAAGTGAAGTAATTTGCAATTTGTGGGTGCCATAGACCTAACATATGAAATTTCAAGCAATTTCATTGAGTGAATGTCACAAAAATATTCGAAAATTACGTCACTCGCAGAGATTTTGGCACAAAATTAGTAAAAATGAAGGCTGAAACTTGATTTTCTTCTCTAATAATGAACTTGTGACAGTGATACATACGAGAGTTCTCACAGTGCACTTTGTCAATCTAAACCAAATCATTGTCCTATTTAGTGTCCCTTTAAGAATGGAACAGTAGATCTGAGCAGTACAGTGGCAAATATAATCGAGTTTAAAAGGCCTGCATTGTATGATGCACCAACCCACATTTGTGCAAGTTCTAAAGGGTCGGCTACCTCAAATCAAGCTTGCCATGCTCAAATAGTGATCACCTGTAGTTAGTGCTTAGAATTATTTAGGCCCACTTGTTTTTGCGAATGACAGTGAAGAAGGTAGTATGAATTACTGCGACAGATCGCAATTGGCGTTAACCAAGGTTGCACAATTCAAACCACCGTCGAGGTCAACTGCAGTTAAGCTGCCCCTGTAACAAGGGTACTAGAAAGGCCCCTGGCTTGACGCGTATGTTTGTCATCACGGGTGGGCGTGTCTGCGAACCATCAACAGAGTGCTTTGCAAACACCTGCGTTTATTGCCGTAATTGCTCTTTTTATTTTTCTGTTTAATGAGTATGGGCACGAGTAAACTAAGTTCGAGGAAGAACTGTTTTGAGTCAATTTAACTTTTTTTTTTAAGTGGCGTGCTCACGATTTTGAACCCATAGCCTGCATAATGATAGATTTTGGATTAGATGCACTCTGACTACAGTTTTAAGTGTTCGTGGTATCAAGACTTTTCACATGTAGAGAGAGTTACTAAACTGTCACTAGTCGCTGGTACAGCAAAGCCATGAAATACTCTTGCTTAGTATTCAAAGGCATTCTGGTCTGTGCAAGGTGTAAACCCAATTGCTTTGTTGTTCTGTATTGCTGTAAATCTCTTCACTGCATTAGACCAATTGTATAATAGGATTTTTTTCTTTAATTGATATGTAGTATGTAATAGTAATATATGATATGTAGTAATAGACTATAGATATATTTATATAACAGATGTAGTAGTATAGTACTTAGAGTATGTGGGATGCTATGGGGGATAGTTAATATTGACAAATGTCCAACAATATGACATACAGCTGGATGATTCACACTTGGTGACACTTATCTAAAGACACAGTGGGCCTTCTGGTTATTTTGCACAGCAATGAACTCTAGAATCTCCACAAAACGAGTTATGAGCACAGTGCCAGTGCCATATGCCTCGTTTAGGGCCACAGCTTCATAGTTCTGCACCTTGAGCACTGCATGCAAGTACGTGGCTGCCGAGAGAGCACAACTGAAATACACTCAAACCTCATTATAACAAAGTTGTATCTTACACAAAAATAAGTTTGTTGTATTCAAAGATTCGTTATTATGGTATATTGCAAACACTTTATCTATTGCAAGACCGTTTTTTATTTACTTTGTTATAACCAATATTTTGTTATATCTGGGTTTGTTATATCGAGGTTTGAGTGTAGTCACCTTATTTTCTTGCTAGCATTTTTTTTGTTGTTGTCAGAACACAGCACGGCATTCTTGAATCTGCCAAAGCACTGAAATACATGCAGTAAAACCTTCATTGCTTAGGCTGTGCATGACTTGCACACACTATACTCCCCCCTCCCTTTTATTTTTCTACTTTCATAGTTCAGCATATGACTTGTATTGCCTTTATAACACATTCTGTATGTAGTTAGTGGACCCTCACTGCTGGCACTTTAGTTGTTACTTCAGCAGTATAGTTGTTCCTTTCTTTTTTCGGTTTCTTTCAGTTTTGTTAATCTTGTATAAATGTACTCATGCAACATAAAATGTAGGATGTTAATTACAAGCTCCTCACTGGTGCATTGCTTAGTTATCGTATCTTTGTCGTGAGCACTGTGCTTCTGAGCTTCTTAACTAGCAGTCAGTATTTTTAATAGATTGGTGTTGCGGTAGGGTTCACTAAGGGCATATTCAGTGTGCATGCCCCTCTTATTTTTTTTTCTCACATGAGTGCATGTTAAAGTATACTTGATTTGAAACTTTTGTATATGTAGATTCAGTGCTTAGCTGCTGATAGGACGTGGCCATGGCATCCCTTCAACTCAGTTTAATTTTTTCAAGTTTACATGTTTGAATGGCCGATCATTAGCGTATTTTCAGGATGTTGTACCCAAGTACCGGGTAGGCGAAAGTAGATATTTTTACAGCTCAACTGGTAAATTTTTTTTCTTCGTTTATAATGGTGTGGTATGATTGGCTCGTCAAGAATATGCCCTACAGTCATTGACCATGCAATAAGGGACCTGTAGCGTGCGCCCTCTGAGAAATGATGTGATGAAAAAAAAAAAAAAAGAATAGAAAGAAAGAAAAGTCCGGCAATAACAATATGGCTTTGAGATTAGAGGTGGGAGAGATCACACTGATTTTTACGACATAATGCACCCTAGGTTGGTATAGTGTAGCGATTGCTTCCACTTCATTTTATGCTATTCTCAACATCAACCATTCACGACCTGTTGATTCCATTGATGGCAGAGACGGAGTGTCGCACTGGCCACTGATGGCAGCGAAATGGGTGGCACTGGAATGTAATTTCTGCACTATGCCAGATCTAAATCAGGTGTCTTATGGCTCCAGGACTGAAAGTTACAGTAGTGTGAAGAAATGGCACAGTGTGTTTCAGTGCACCAAACACAGGGATCAGTTTTAATGGACGCTTGCCTTTGCTGCTGATATGTTAACCTGGTCAGTGAATGCCCCTTGGATTCCATTTGCTATAAATGAGTCGGGCTGCCACCTGGCCTGTAAACTAACAGCAAAGGAAAAGAATCGAAAACCTGCATTTAACATAACTGTCGAACCAAGCACATGAATGGTATACCTTTTAACAAAAGACAACGTTCTTGTATACTAGTGTTGCAAAAGAGTGGGCACACTGCGTGTCTTCAACGTAGAGGTGAAACCACTCTGATAGACGCCTGCGTCTTATATTTCCATCTGAAGCCATTGTATATTGGCATTGCCATGCATATGGGAAGCACTGTAGGCAAGTTTCTTGTCTAGGTCAATGTAACGAGTCTGTTAATTCAGTTGAAATGAAGAAGCTGAGAAATTGATAATGCATGCAGCAGAGTGAAGACTGGTCTATATGGCTGTGCTTGTTAAAGGAAAGGAAAGACGAGTGCGCTGTTACAACGTGCGTTTTAATAGCAAGGAGGGTGTAGGATTTCCCTCACATAATACACGAGTTCCTTATGTTTGTTTTTAGGCGACGTTTCTGGCTTTTCAATTGTGTGAGCTGTTTTTTGGAGTGATTTTCTTCTCTTTTCGTGTGTGCTGTGTCCTTGTGTGCTTGTGCCCGTCTGACCGTTCATCTTCATTCTGCTGTGTGTGAATAGCTCTTCATACCAAAGGACGGACTCATGGAGTGCCTTAAAACAGTAGGGGCTGTGCCGGGGCCCTTGTCTTTAGCACAGGTGAGTTGTTTTCTTTTTCCCCACTTGAGTAATATGTACAGTTTAGAGAGTACGAATGCACTAAGTGACAGGGGCACGGCGGTGTTTTTACACGTGTTTCAGTAATGCTGCAACCATAAATGCATGAAGTTGTTCAGCGGCAAGTCTAGTGCCATCATGCAAAATGTAATTGTGCTCTAACACAAAGAATTGCGGTAGAAGCCTTTCAGGTTTCTTCATAACCCATTTAGAGCAGCTACTGCAGTTATTGCCGTTTTCTGCTGTTGCAAACATTTGGATACGCGCAGAAATACATAAGGAAAAATGCGGCACATAAAGGCAGTTAAATTAACTTTGAGGCATCCACATTGTTGTCCCTCGCAGCTCCTTGCATTTCCTTGCATTGTTCAATAAGCGCCTTCTTGATAAAGCTACGCCGCTTAGTTCTGGTGCTGCACGGTGGGACTGTCGCGGATGCCTCGTTCCACATGCAGCTCATGGAGTGGTGCTGCTGGCTGACACTGTGCTGCCAAGAAGGCTGTGCAAATGGCCGATTCCGCTACTCACGATTCCTGTGGCCGATTCGCGCTACTCATCTTGATTGTCAAGTTTAATATTACACGATATGCAATTTAGTTTGTTATGCTGACGAAGCACAATTCAAGTGGTTATATCACAGTTATTTCTTGTGATACAAGTGATAATCGATTGCACCCATTGCTAGATTTTATCTAACGAGCTTTCACTCTGTGGGTAAACACGAGCACAGGCCCTGTCGCGGTTTTCCAGTGGCTAAGACACTCAGCTGCTGACCCACAGGTCGCGGGATCGAATCCTGGCTGCGGCGGCTGCATTTTCCGTAGAGGCGAAAATGCTGTAGGCCCATGTGCCCAGATTTGGGTAGACGTTGAAAAACCCCAGGTGGTCGAAATTTCCGGAGCCCCCCACTACGGCGTCTATCATAATCATGTGGTGGTTTTGGGACGTTGAACCAAAACCACCACATCAATGTAAGTAGTTCACAACAGATAATAACAAAAAAATTACAACCATGTAAAGGAAAGAATCGCAGGCTTTAGCAACATTGACAGCTTTTATTCACAGCCTGAATCATCTGCATCCGCATTGCATCGGGAACACTTTGAATGAGCAGCTCGTAGCCTTCAAGAGACATTAAAGTCGACTATGATTGTTAAAATAGTATTACAGAAACCTCGTAGCGCTTGTTTCAGGCCAAGGAAATGCTTATTTAGAAAGAAAATCACATTTAGCGGTATGCACAGCTTTGTAACGCTTGAAATAACCTGCGTGAAGAGTCTTTCTGGCATAACAGAGGCGTTGCCCAGCGTTGCTCACCTTTCCCGCCCGGCAGCAGACACTCTGGTTTCTTGCGGGTTAGAGCACAATAGCAGCCTTCGACTGATCCAAGACTGAGTTGGACTTGGCCAGCAGTGGCAGCAGAATAACAGAAAGGCAAAAGTAACGAGAGCTACAGCAGCGACAGCAACCTGTGCGCAGCCTGTCGCAATCTTGAGACACAGTACTTGGCCACTTCGAGCGTTGGAGCTTCATTTTGCGACACCTAGCGGAAAGTCACATCGGTTTCTTTGCTGTAGCTGAAGTGGTGTACCCCATTCCGGGCATCCACATCATCACATGGACATGGCATATGGTGTTTTGCTCAACTTTTCATTAGAGTGATTTCCACGAGCTCACAAAGCATGCATAGCTGTGCACGACTATGAAACTACCACTGAGACATCACCGTGCCAGCGGTGCAAGTCTAGTGCAAACGGAAGTGTCGGACCACCTGCGCATTTTTCGACATGGTAACGCCAATGAGTATTTTCCCACAAATCGAATCAGGAATACACAAGCAATGTTTCATTACATCATGGAATGCTCTTTTCTGTTATAAATAGTTCAGGTACTTGTTATTAATTCTTTTTGAAACTGTGTCATTTGGTTCATTCCGAAATGTCCCACTTGTAGTGCATATCGTGTTCTATATTTACCGTAATTTCTCAAGTGGAAGAGGGAAGCTTAGGCTAGGTGGTATGTATTCTCAATTAGCAGAGCACTGCTGTTGATTATAATAACGGTTTAGACATTCTCAAGCATTGACCTTTAACTTTGTCTTATGTTCACAATGTGGTAGATTAGGAGGGTGATTCCAAACATTATAATGATGTACCATGGCTCCGAAAAATATTCAACAGTCTATGTTAGCAATAATAAGTCAGGCTGCATTACTCCTGAAGAAAAAAAAGAAGAAAAGGCTGACGGCTAATAAGGCTATCAGAAAATTCTCGTACCATTGCTTCACAACTTTCATTTGTCACAGGCCAATGATCTGTAAAGCCATAATCACAGTGCTTTCAGGTGTTAGCAAAACTGTTGCAAACTTCTCGTAGTCTCTACGTCTTTCAAAGTACACTCAAACCTTATTTTAATGAAGTTGCACCTTACACACTTACACAAAAATAAGCTTGTTATAACTGAAAATTCGTTATGAAGGTATATTCCTAATGCTATATCTATTGCATCTATTGCCAGAGTGTTTTTCATTTATTATGCTATAACTGATAATTTGTTATATCCAGATTCGTTATATAGAGTTTTGAGTGTACCCCATTGTTTTAGTGAAGTTTTATGCTGGCAAACCTAGAATATTGGACTGGTTTGGCTTAGTTAAAGTCATGCCTAGTAGTCTTTAGTTAAAGGCCTTTGTGGTGCCATTACTGAGGACTTTAGGATGACTGATAATCTTTAGTGTTCCAACAAAGTTCATATTTCAGGTGACATTCCCTAAGGTTTTTTTTTCTGTTTTGTGAAAAGACTATGTCTTGAAACTACGCTGTCTCCCAAGGTTTAAAAAAAGGAAGTGAGAAGTTTTGAAAAGCCCTAAAAACCACGGTTCAGCTGTACACTTTGAATTTATTGATAATTGGCAGTAGGGGCTGGTCTTTGTTCCAAACAACTGGCATACATGACGTAATGGTGGATTTTCAAATACTTCACACCGTGCTTGATGTGGTGCCTTCTGTTAGTTTCATAGATGATGCAGTGTTATAAAATGGATCGTGACCACATCAGTGTGGAGGCTGTAAATAGTGCTATGAATGTTATTTTTTGTGAGAGATGAACCAAGAATTGGCATGATTTATTTTAGTCGCAGGAAATGTCATGTTTGCTGCGATTCTCATGTCAATTTTTTTTTTGTTGCTGAATGCACTTAGACTTGTGTGCCCTTTACAATCGGACTGAAAAGTTATTTTGGCTCGAAGCTGCTTTTTTTTTTTTTTTTCAAACGCATTCAGTTTAAAACCACTGGTGTGCTACAATTGTGGGCACGCTAGAGTGATACAAATTAATAACTACTGGTGAACTGCTGTGAAATAGTTTGAGATGGTTGTTTTCAGCTTGGCAAACACAAATTAATAACTACTGGTGAACTGCTGTGAAATAGTTTGAGATGGTTGTTTTTCAGCTTGGCAAACAAACAAAATGAGGCACGATTCTTGCTTATTTTTATAGCTTATTCAAGCTTTCTTGAGGTTTATTTTTCCATAAAAGTCTTGTAAGGACGCTTGTACCCTCTGTCCACGTACAGATTTTCATTAATATGTTTATTAGTAGACCATAGTAAAGGTTTATATGATCGCAGAAAATGTAACATTCATCAACGATTTTTTGCATGTGGAGACTATCTTTTTACTGTGCAATACCATTATAAAGGGAAGGCAACATGACAGAGCACTCGAGATTACAACCGTAAATTAGTTTACTGGTGAAAAGGCAGGTATTCGTGTAAGTGTAAGGGCAGTGAAGTCTAGATGGCATGCAGGTATGTGTTCGCTTTGGAAGGCCTACACGCACCTTTGTGTGGCTTCCTGAATGGTAGTAAACTGTTTGGCTAAGTGCTGGATATGTATTATGGGAACTGGTGTAGGTCAACCCCCGACTTTACACTACGGAAAATCTGAGGAGGGGGGGGGGGGAGTACATGGTACAGACGAGTTGAAAAAGGCATTTTTACTCTAAAACAAGTGCATTTTCAAACGGGGCTCAATGAAAACACCATTTATGTACATGTGTGTTTGCTCGCACATTTAATGTGGCAGAGAGCTAAAAGCTGAGCTCGAGCATCATGTTTGTAAAATGGTGCAATCTTGTTGTTTAATTTGGATGCAATCTGAAGCAAGCAATAGCAATCATGACATGAGTGCAGCTCCTGGATAAACTCTGCAAGCTTTCTTTCCAGCTTTAGATGCCCTGTGTTCTGGCTCAGAAACAATTTTCTGATGTCATGATGTGATCCTGCAGAATAGGCCACCTGCAGAACAGGCCAGTAGTGAATACCTCTGTGATGCCTGCCGATCGTAGCTTTACATGCCGGTGTAAACCAGAACTGCTGGCATTGTGCGAAGCAACAAAGAAACAGTATCTGGGGAGATGGAGCAGCAAGATTGGCCATGCAAAGACAAAATTTCAGTTGTTGCTTGGGACTGGCAGCGCTTGCGTACTCACAGACTTCAGACTCAGTGTGTGCCTTCTAAAACTCAGTCACGCAACAGTGAACTTTTGTCAGCCGCCAGTTGAAAACTAGAGAAAAAGCAATTTAGAACCGAAATATATTCCCTACACAAGAACAAAGACCCAAATGGAGGCTGCCTACGGCCCAAGGCTGGTGACGGAAAGTGACGTAGGTGATTGCTATGGTGGTGGAGGCAGTCGACTTTAGTTGCCCTTTGGAGCCTGTGTCTTGAGTTGAAACAGGCTCTGAAGCCATGTCTTATTTAGTACTAGCAACATGATTGTGGTTGGGGACCATGTCTTCTGAAAGGCCTCGACTGTTTCGGGGTCCACGAACGTTGTTTTCGCTGCTTGGCGTCTCATATATGTGGCACTTCGTGCTTGACGCATTCGGAGCGTCCTACAATATGACAGCATTGCAGGGGCCAAATATGACTGAAGTAAAGAGTTTGATGCAATTGAACAGTCTATATGCTGGCTAAGACAAAGGAATGCGTCAAAGTAGTTTAATTTTCTGAATCGATGCGCTTTTACTCTATTGCCCATTGTGATTGTAGGCGATGCCTTCTCTCGCCAATGCAGGTAATGGACCACATGAAACAGTATATCATGGAGCGGCAGCTCATTGACGCCAAGTTGCCCCCCGCGATCGTCTGTGGCCAGGATCCACTAGGCAAGGTGCTTGGTGTGGAACGTTTTCTAGTCAGCGAAGCCATGTAAGTGGTCTCCTCCTGCGACTGGGCGCGTGTCGTAGCTCTTTTGTTGTTCTTGTGCCTGTTGTTTATGCCACATCTGAGCCCAACAGCACTGCCCTAATGTTTGGTTTTGATGGGCAATAGGGCCAGGTTTTGTATTTGTCAAATGGCACAAAGTATGGATGGCAGATCGCATGTTCTTACTCTCTTACGAAAAGTAGCCGTCCTAACATATTCACTCTTAAAACAAAATGAATTGGGCAGTTCATGACTGCTCTTTGTTTCATGGATGGCAGAACATAGGGTCGCATTGAACCACGGATTGCTGGTCCAAATTTGGGTTTTTGGAATGTGAAGTACAACATTTTAGTCACGATCACCAATAATGGCTATTGGCTGCAGAAAGAAAACTCGTCATTTCATGTTTTTTGGCGGTCAGTGGGGTTCATGTCCTTGACATCTTGCATATAAAATTTTATTTTATACTTTGCAAAAATAACGTATTTGACCTACATATATAAATGTCTTTAATTAGCAGTACATTTTGGCAAATTATGGCATGTATGCATGCAATTGTTTTATAAGCATTTCATTAAGTATACTTTTGCCTCAGTCTTGCTCAGAAAATAAATGTTACCTATGCCTACTCTGAGTTAAACGGCATTCATCAAATTTCATTGTTGCTGCGTGTTTCTTATTGTGGGCCATACTAGTAGTTGCATAATGAGCTTTTAGTATTGTTAAGACGTTGGAAGGTCTGCCTACTGCAAATTAAATCTATTGTTCTATATGTTAGAATTTTGTCTCTTGCTTTGTGGTCTTCAGGAAGATCAAAATCAAGCAGCAGCAGTTTCAGAACTTCATTTTATTCATGTTAAAATAAATAAGGAAAAAAGAAAACAGCAATTTTAATTTATTAAGCAGTATTTTTTGGTGTCTAACCCCGGTATTGTTGATTAGTTTACTTGTTTTATGTCGCACCAGGTAGCCATGTTTCAGCACTTACGGTATGTCCATTGAAGACACCCTTGTGCTTTTGTAGCTGGGACCAATCATTGCCGGTGGTGCTGTTGGGCTAGATTTACAACGTGGTTTGGAATGACCGCTTGCAAAAGTTTTTTTTTTTTTATGGTTGCTGCTGTGTGCCCCTGACCAGCCATAAATAAATTTGTAGGTATGTTTAAGAAGCTCTCTTGTCAATAACTAAACAAATAAATAAACAAAAACAGTAAAACCCCGCTTATACGACTTTCAGGGTACCATGTAAAATTACGTCTTGGGTGTTGCAAACCAAACAACTTGAAATAATAGGCAGTGACACTGAGCATTGGCCAAAATATAGGTACAGATAGCCTGAATAAGCTCACAGCACGACCTTGTGCCTCTGCAAGGAATGTAGATAAAGTTATTCTTGCCAGTGGCAGCTAATGGCAGCGTTACTCAGTTGAAGAAGGTACAAGCGCACCTTCACTCTCAACTTAAAAAAAAAAACAAACAAAAAAAAAACGAATCCAACGTGTATTTTTCTACTGATAATAAAAGTCGAAAAACTGCCTGCGCATGAAAACAAAACAGAAACCGTGTTGCCTACAGCGTCCTGTTAGAAGAGTCAGGCACAGCATCGTTGCTATCACATAGTGGCGACGGACGAGTTTGAGTAAAATGCAAACGCTAGGCATCGTGCGTGACTGAGCTGAGTTGTGCACATTGTAATTTGTTGGCTTGGGAAGTGCAACTAGTGATGTCCCGCTGTTGTCGTGAACGTCGACGTCAAGTGAAAGTAATTTTACACAGTGAAAGCAGCTGCGTCGAGCCCTGATGCGTGCGCAAGCCCCTGACTACGAGTGCGAAAAAGGCAGGAGATCAGCTGTATGCCGGCCAGGAAAAGTTTCCACAGACCGAAACCGCGAAAATGTCAGCTTTGCGGTTGGCTGAAGCTACTCTGTGGAATTAGAGCTTGAATAGGTAACGACCCCAAATACGTGCTCATGCAGTCGAGGCGTATGTAGAAGCGCATGGACTTAACAAGACACCCTGTCTCACTCTCTACTTTTCTAATTGCCAACCTAGGGGAACGCAAGTTCGTATTTTTCACTTCGTGAATATTTGGTTGACATTTGATTCAAATAAAGGTCTTTTTTTCTTGCGGGCGGAATCTGAAAGTCGTCGTAAGATGAGAGCGGTGGGCGTAAAACTGGGTTGTGTAACGAAGGTTTTTAATACATTACTTCTGTGGGGATTTCGCTGGGACTGATCCGATTCGTAGTAAAATGTGGGTCGTCGTGAAACCGTCAGATGCATAATCGAAGTTTCACTGTGAAAACCTTCTTGCAGCAGGTCTTCCGAAACTATTCGTGATTACATGTGCCTTTTTAGCCCAAGTTTTGGTTCTCTACCATAGTAGCATTGGAATTCTAGCTATGATATCATGAGGCTAAGTGTCGTCGTCGTCCCTTGTAAATTTCTCCACAATGTGGCACAAAAAAATTTCAGTCTTGTAATTGCATTGCAATACACTGCGTTCACGTAGTGGCTGTATAAATTGTAGTCCTGCAATCCTGTGATGATGCTGCGCTTACTCCTCATTATGAAGGATTCGGAATTAGCTGGATTTGTTCTCTGTCGGTATCCTGTGCACATTTGCCATAATTTCCCACAGGTACTGTGGGAAACAAGTTAGATGTTCAAGAATCAAAGTCACGTTAAATGGTATGGCAACAAAATCTTGTAGTGTTGAGCAGCCATTATGTTTGAGTATTGTACGGCAGGAGGTGGTGTTTTTGACAAGCAAGGATAGTTTTTCCGTAGCACAGACGCTGCATCACACTACGGTTACAATGAGAGCTAAGTGACCGCCTAAATTGACTAGAAAACGTGACTCGCGTGGGACTTGTATTTCTCTGGTAGAATATTTTGATCTGAGAATGTGCAGGTCTGGTACACACGGTATGCAACGACTAAATACGGGTCACTCTGGTTTGCATCAGTTAATTATTGCCCGTTTTTGTTCGTATTTGTTTGCCACATCTTCACTTGTCATGCACACACCAAAAGCTGTCAAGCTTCCAAAACAGTGAAGTTGAAAGCAAAGGCTTGGGTGTCAACTTCGGGAGTGCTAGGCAGCATATGACATGCCTGTTTGTTTTGTCCTGGACTCGCGTGCTGACCTTTAAAAAAAAAAGGAGCATTTCAGTTTTGCATATGCAATTTGTTATTGATAACCTGAATCCTAACTCTTAAGCATGGGATAATGAGATGGTTTTTTATTTTTACATGTTCATAAGTGACATCAGAGCTGCAGGAGAGGTCTACAGCTGAGGTTAGTTACTAGTTTTCATTAACAAAAGTAAGGAAAGCTATTGCGATTTGTTTGCTTGTGGCAATAGTGTCTTATACTTGGTCAGCACTTTTGTCGACTCACTCACGCTATAAAAGAAATCAAAAGTGTCTAGCTTTTTATACGGACAAACATATTGACACTTGTAGTAGCAGTGGGCATTCTAATGTGTGTGTAGCAAACTGTTCATTATATTAGTGCTAATTCAGCCGTTGTACACAAATGCCGCCTTGCGCTATAGCCGGCTGTCGGGAGATCGCACTGCTTCCGTAACATTTGGCTTGAATTTACGATGCTAATGCTTCCTGTACGAGGAATCATAAGCAAACTCATTTGTGGCTTCATTAAATTATTACTTCACTGGTTGAATGTCCTGATGGTGACATAAATTTTGATGAGTTATGATGTGGCAAACGAGTTGAACCTTGGTGTGCACTGCCTGAGCGTTTTATTTTTCAGTACTGCAGCAGGTTTGTATCGCTCTCAGTGCTTTGTAATATTTTTTTTGCCATTTGTGTGGCATACATAGCCCAAGTCATCTCAGCTTCTGCGATGACTCGACATGGAAGGCCATGAATTATTGGCAGGGATAAAAACTGCCTTAATTTCAATGTTAACGCGGATTTCCACATTGGTTTCACCTACCGTTTGAGACATGTGCCTTCAGTGACGGCTTGATGGACTTGCTGTCAGGGCCTTTCGAAGAAGCTGATGTGACGATGGCTCATTGTGGTGGGGGTTTGCAACGAGACAGGCACCAGACTGGCGAGGGAACTTGAAGAAGTATTACCAGTTTCGGAGCAGCGTCTGTGTTAGAAGCTGCTACCGTCCGTAGACACTGCTCGTTGTTCTGGTGTTTATTGGTGACGCTTCGACCGAGCGATTTGAGTGACCATTATGTAAAGGAGGTGCCGATACATTTGTACAGCACGACCGTTTAAGAAAAGCCTCTTGAAATCCATAACTGCTACAGACCTGCTGCATTCACGTCATCATTTCTTAAGCAAAAAACATTCACCAATCTGATGCCTTTCCTGTTGCTCCATACATTTTGAAAGTTGGGATAAAAAAAAAAAAAAAGGGAACTTGTACTGTTTTGTCTTTTGTTTGAAACAAACGTTTTGCAATGCACTCGTCGTCTTTTTTTCCCCGTGTTTTTTCCTCAGGGACGACGGGAAAATTGAGAAAAATGACGTTTTGAAAAATAATTCAGCAGACGACCCTGCTCTACTACCTATCGTCTGCATCTTCTTCAGTGCAAACATCATCTGCGCTGCCTTAGATACTAAATTTTGTCAAATTGATTTGTATTTAAAAAAAGACAGAAGAAACTGCCTACTGAATTTGGTTTCTTAAAAAAGTTTGTGGTGCTTTTGAATTAAGCGAGGGATGGAGAAGGAAGACTATCTTGACTTCTGTGGATTGATGGATTGAAGCCGTCGTCTGCTGTGTCTGCAACGCCTGCTGACGGCATTTAAAAGGGGACGCACATCATTTTGGAAGGATGTTGGGACGACGGGAGTGTGTGAACTTCGGGAAGACTTGCGAGGAGACGGAAACGAAAGATGTCACGTTCTTTCCATGTTTTTTTCTTCTTCTTTAGCGGTCTTCTAGTCAAACAAATGAGTGCTGTACCACCGCAGCATGTAGTAACACAAGGTAACTATACACAAGCGGTGGTCTGCTTTTTTTGTGTAGCTGTAGACTTAGGAGCTTGAACTACCACCGTGCTTTGCTTGAGACGCGACGGGCAGCCAAGAGTGTCGGCTGCGACGTTGCTTGTGGGGCGTAAGACGGATGCGAGAATGTTTCTTTGTTTTTATTTTACCGTTGCTCGGCTGTGGTTTGTGGTCTCAAGGAATCTCAAAGGCAAGCATTTGTCTGGTTGGCCGCAATTTGCACCGAACCATTGTCAAACGAGCACACTTTCGTTGCTCTCCACAAGTACTGCATGTGGTAGCGACCTGTACTACTGAAGAAGGAGGGCAGGCAATATTGTATTCTGGAAGATATTGCCAGTGTGCTACAGAAACCATGGCGTACTTGCAAGCATCCCACTTCGTTGCAGGTATAGAAAAGGTATTTTATGGGCTACGGTAGCATTCATAGAGTTGTGCTAAGCCAGATGAAGGGGAACCATAATGTACACCTAGTTCCAGTAAGGCAGATGATTGGGTACTGTAGTGCTTGCCAAGTTGCAGTGAGGTGGGTGATGGGGTACCGTAGCAAAACAGCCCTTTGGTCTAGTCCGTAATGGTTTCTTGTGAATTCAGGAAGTGGGACACAGTACGTAACAGGGGCTGGCGAAGAGAAGGACAACATACTGTGGCATTAGCCAAGTTGCAGTGAGGGATATTATGGTGTAACGTAGGGTTGCCTAAGTTGTAGCGGGGCAAATGAGGGAGTACTGAAGCATTCGCCAAGTTGTTGTGAGGCAGATGGTGGGCTACCATAACTACGTTCAAGTTGCAGTGAGGCGGCATTAAAGTTACAGTGAGGCAGATGATGGGGCACTGTATCTGCGTTCACCAAGTCACAGTGAGGGAGTTGATAGGGTACGCTAGCGTTCATGAAGTGGCAGTAAAGCAGATGATTGGGTGGCGTAGCTACATTTATCAATTTGCAATGAGGCCGATTGGGGTGTCTTGACCATGTTTACCAAGTTGCAGTAGGACAGGTGATGGGGTACTGTAGTGCTCACCAAGTTCTATATCGCTACTGCAGCAGAAGATGAATCTCCTTCCATTTATTTGTCATGTACATCAACCGTTCAACCCCAGCTTTATCCAGAGAGAGTGTTTTGGTTCACAGCATGCTTCTGCCAGTCATATTGAACAGAATGCGTGCGATTTCACAAGCGGTCTCTGACTGTCATGAGTGTAATGGTTCCAAGTTTGCATCGGCCTAGCTTTAGCTTTAGCATCTTTGTTGGACTTCATAATAAGCAGCACTACTCGCTTGTACATATGAAAGAACTTGACTTCTACCATTAGTTGTATAGGCCATCATCTAAGTCTATGTATCCAGGAGAACATCAGACCTTTGCATGTTTGACTCTTTTCTTGTCTTTTTTACTTGTAAGTCTAATGAAGCAAATAGCAGAGATTGCTGCTAAAAATTTCTCGTTTAAACAAAAGCTGTGGCATCTTAGTGCAGATATCGACCCTGACAGCTCCAGATCTTTTCGTCTGCTGGCGCTTTGCTGAAAGTGCGTACCCTTCAGGCCTTCATTTGTTGCTTGGGCAAGTGGTAATGCAAGCACCGTTTTTCTTGCTGGGGCTGGTCCACAACATCTACTTCTGTCTCTTTGCATGGCATAGAACTTCCAAACGTGTCATTTCAAATGTTTGGTATTGAGGTCGAGGCACTTTGGCCAACGTAGAGATGCTTCTTTGGTCTTCTGAATTGTTCTGAAATTCGTGCCGATTGCTTGCCGTAAAGTATTCTCCTTCGCTAATTGTGTACTCGTTTAGGAACAGCGGAGCGCTTTTAAAAGTGCCTGTGCTACAGTTCTACTTAGTTGTGGTAGCAGAGCTCAGCTTTCTCTTGGTTCAGTTTGTAATGGTTTCTTCAACAACATTTAAGCCAATCTAACTGTTCGGTGTGACATTTGTTCAAGCCGGTTATTAAAACACCTAACTCTTAGATTTTCAGGTGAAGAATAGGACTGGTGTGCTTTGTCCTATTATACTCCACTAAAATGTGAGGGCTGTTGGCCTCTGTTCTGTCAGCATCCTGATTCGTCAAAATGGTGAGATATTCAGTATAAAACATTCTTGCGGACTCTGCTAGCCCCAAATCTATTCTGTTTTCCTTCACTATCGCTTGTTTTTTCAATTTTTCCAAGTATGGCGCATTGCCTCGTTTCGTAGACGGACAGGGTTACTTAGGAATTTGATTAGTGTAACCCGAGCTTTGCACATCATTTGATTTGTGCCTCTGTGCTCTTTGTAAGTCCTGCGGGCCACGCACAAGCCGAGCAACGGCCGAGTTGTATGTCTGGTAACGACTTCGGGCCGAATTGTATGTCTGTCAACGACTTGGTCGCAACGGTAGAAAACTTCCCGAGGCTCAGAGGTTGGCCGAGAGTCTGATGCATCTGCCAGTGGGCAATTTTCACTTGGCAGTTCCCTGGCACCATTACCCCCCCCCAAAAAAAAAAAAACTACGAAATCAAATTTGCTTCACCCACTCAAAAAATTACTGGTGAAGCTGGGTGCCGTCCACATGGCTAGCATTGTCTTTGAATCTAGGACATGTTTTTAAAACTGTTGCACCTCTCTGTTGGGGCCATGTTAGACCGGAGTGCAGTATAATTGTGGGCGCGTTGACGAGGCTTACAGAAAAGCCTGGTGTGGCCATTTAATAGTGAATTTGTGCGGCCATCGACAAGTAGACAAGCCTCAAGGGTATTTGTTCTTTTGCCGATTTTCAGACCAAGTCGTTGAATCTGCCTGGGCTGTGCCTCTAACGGCTGTATTTTTTTTGTGCTTGCTTTCTCTGTTCTTGTTTAATTGCATCTGTCTGCGCCCCGTCAAGGTAACACCCCTTTTCCTTTAGTCTACTTCAAAAATATCGCGACATGTTCCTTAGATTGGCTTGGGCAGTGAATTTCACTATTTTTTGGCGTAGCCTCTTTATTAATCTAAAGTTGTGCGTTGGAAGGGGGTGTTGCCTCTCAAGCTGTGCACTTGTAGATTTGTTAGGCATTTGGGTGCCGAAGGCAGCAGAACTGGAAATAGATATGGCTTTCAGGAAAAGTAAGGTTTTTCTCTATCACAACCTAGTTCACTGGTTGATGAAATTCGACCTGCATTAAAGGAAAAGTTCGTTGTTTGCAGCAAACCTTGCGAGATAACTTATCCGCTGTTGCTTAAATATCAGCGCCAGGTACAGTTGACTCTCGCGGCTGAAACGCTGTTCTCACATTTTGCACCAGAGTGTATAAAGCAGTGTATGCAGCTCAGGCACGTTTGAAGGTATCAAACGCCCTGCTTGTGCAAGATAGGAAGTTTACGTTGATATTTGCCTTGCGGCAGCGGAGAACAGGAATCCCATTGCTGAGGGCAATTCGTCAATCATTGCTAAGAGGAAAAATTGTGTGTCATGTTTAGTCATGACTGTTACAGATGGCACCATTACGTGCTTGGAAAGGGTGGCACAGTCTGCCGTCGCTGTGACGAAATATGATGGGCGTCATGCCAGAACTGTGACACCGGGTGTCAACGCATGCCACGATGTTGACACGCGATAGAGCCACTCGCAAACCCTCCCCTCTCCTCCTTCTTCTTTTTTTTCTTTGCTGGCTAGAGCTCTGAACTAAATATAGCTCTGAACAGAATATAGCACGAAGGAGGTGTGCTCTGAACATGGTAATTTAGTGCATACCTTGGAATGTCGACTTTTGAGCATTACTTGAGCATAAACAAGCAGCCAGTGGCTCAGCTCAGAGACCATGCACAACTTTTGAACAAAAGATGAGGAGTGGATCAAGGCCTCGTTTTTTAGGCACAACATAATGCAGCCAAAGAAATAATAATTGGTGGGGTTTATTGTCCCAAAATAGCCGTAGGATTATGAGAGGCACCATAGTGGAGGGGCTCTGAAAATTTCAACCACCTGGGGTTCCTTAATGTGCACCTAAATCTAAACACACATTCAAGCATTTACGACTTCATCAAAAATGTGCCCAGGACAAGTGGGAGCTCTTATGTCACCTGTGGGTTGACAATGGAGCACTGCAACCACTGAACCACCGTGGCGGGTGAAACCTAGGAAAGTATAGGGCATTGCCATTTGTCAAGCGTGTTGATTAACAAATATTTAACATATTCAGCGATAACAAACAAGGACGGAAAAGAGACTACACCACTGCTGTGATTTGGATGTGTGTGTTTGGCCATAATAAAACATTGCAACTACTATTTTGAAGTCGGAAAGTTTAAAGAATACTGCAAAGAGTAGCGAAGGTAAGCGGAGATACAGTCGAAACCCGCAATAACGAAATCGCTGGGGAAACGGAAAAATTTCATTTTCGCTGAGAATTTCGTTGCCGTAAGTACGAGACATAAAAACAGTGATACGGCCAGCAGAACGAAAATTTTTTGCCAGAAGTCGGTCAACTTACTTTGCCGGCCCTTGTCATGCAACAACTTCAAAGCTATGCCTTCGCACTGGAAAAAGTGGTCCATTGCTACGTCGTTGTCATATGCGCCAAGGAAGCAGCGAAGAGTGTCCAACGCATCGAAAACAACCTGTGGGTTGTTTTGGGTGCGCTAATGCGTCGTTCTTGCTCGCAGTCTCACTGTCAGCGGAGTGAGGGCTAAAGACGACTCCAATGACGCGCCGAACTCGTAGTAACCTGATCGCGCATCCGCCTATTGCTCCTAACTAAAGCGTAATTATATCTTAAGTGATCATCGAGCCGTGAACACGTTCCAAAGTAGCAATTTTCGAGAGCCATGTCCTCGCAACGCACAAGCAGCAGACGACGATCTCCTGGAGCGAGCATTGGGCCAATGGCGAGGCGAGCTGAATCAACATGGCGGCCACAGCCAATCAAGAGCCTCGAAACGACCTTCAAACATTTGCTTTTTGTGCGCTTGTTTTTAAAGGGAGGAGCCAGCTGAGGCGGGAAAGTTAAACACGGAGAAATGCTCTTTCTGATGAGCCCAAGAAGCCGGCTCCCGGCCTCGCCATCGCGAAGCCATAATTTTTTGAAAATCGCTGTTTCCTTGCGATTTCCTGAAAAAGTTTCGCTACCTAAGTGGGTGAAATGAATTTACGATCTTCTGCGCGGTTTTGCGTGTAGATATTTTGGAATCAGATAGAATAAAGGTTCCAGAAACTAAAAACTTCATTTTCAAAAAATCGATATTTTTGCCATTTTTCGCGATCCCAAAGCCACGTCCCCCCTTAAGTAAACAAAAATGGCGGTACCCATGCTAGCGCGGCAAAAGCAGACGTTTACAAATTTTGAGTGCGCATAACACGCATATTTTCGACAGTTAACCTTTGGCGGGAGGGTAAAATAAGGCCCGCACTGTGGTAGAAAATTCGTTAATGCGGGATCGCTGTCCGAAAAAATTTCGTTGCCACGAGATACGTAATACATGGGCTTCTATGAACGTTCGCCGGGGATACGGAAATATTTCGTTGCCGTGGGGATTTCGTACTCGCAGAGTTTTGCTATTGCGGGTTTTGACGGTATACCTTAGGTGCTTGTAGTAAAATTATTGTGTTACCACAACCAATTCGAATGTATATGTGCCTGAAATGTAGGATGCATTCTCACCCTAGTGAGAAGTTTTTCTATGGGAGAAGATCTTGTAGACTGTGATTTCGCAGTTTACACGTGTTGTGATACAGGAGCCAGTAGCATAAAGTGACGCAGCAGTATCGTGGAGTACTTGGACGTAACGGATACCTGTTTGAAGCGAGTGTGATATTTAGTTACAGCATTGCCTGTCTTGGCTTTAGGTTATTATTATCTTAGCCCACAGCCAAGGAAACCGAAGACAAAGCAGTGTGATGGATATTGTAATCTGATGGATCGTTTGATATGCATGTCTTTAATGAACGAATGAATGTCAAGTGGTTATGGGAGTTTATAAGGCACCATGACATCTGGTTAAATTTTGTGGATGGGACCTGCCTGCATGATGTCAGATAAACAGGGGCCATTTAGAACATTTGCACTGTTCAACCTTCATTGGTGAGGGATTTCTTAATTTTCTTAAAGCGCACAGCCGTGCTAAATAAATTTGCATCATGGCAACAAACTGCAACAATGGTTACCACCAGCTGGTAAAGCAGCAAATGTTCGACATAACACTTGATGCACTGTGGCCTTCAAAACAAGTTGACACGGGCCTGTGGGTGGGGGGGCAGGAAACTGTCCAGAGAAGTTTGCTTTATCAAATGGCCAATCCTTGATTGTGTCTGTCATCACATGCTTAACAAAGAGCAGAAGTTTTGTTCGTTTCCATGGGCGTCGAATCAAGAAATACGAATCGCAAGCTCTCTAGCCTCGTCCATCATGCTAAAGCTTGCTTGTGGGCGGAAAGAATGGAAAACTGGGACATACTGCACACTGCCGTGATCGCGTTGACGCCTATTTACAAGCAGAGATGAAAACCCTTTTATGTATGATGGGGTGGGGCATTGTTCAAGCACGAACCCATGCTCAGTGTACGAGCAGGGCACAACATTGTGCAGTAAAGAAGTGGCACTGAAGTGCTGATTTTTACAATTTTGTTGCATGAAAGTTTCACTGTACCTGACAGTCCTATTTAAGCAAGTTTACTTCAGCTTAATAGAAAGTTAGTGTTTGCATACTCTGCCAGCCTTGGAGATGTGCGTGGGCTGATCAGATAGTTTAGGAGAGAGCCCAATAAATGGCTAATAAAGGCTGTAATGATGAAGGCTGTACAAAAGCTATTTTTGTGTGCCATGCTGGTACAGTTCACTACGCTGGTGTACCCAGTATGTTATCAATGTTACTTTCGCAAGCATGTGCCGAATGATAGCGAGTCATTCTGCCCACTTTGTACTGCACACACGATTTATTTTCAAAGTACCTTGGTCACGAGTGGGCTGTTACAGCCATAATGACAGCAGAGTATAAAAAATGTGTTCATAAGATTAAGCATAAGGACGTGAAAAATTTGTGAGAAGCCAAATCCAGTTTTGCTGCACGACGCACCCGTGAAAATTAGATTTGACACCGCTATGGTTGCACAAATGTCGGGATTGTCTGCACTCTTGATGCTTATAATCCTGTTTTCTGAAAAACTAACCGCTAGAGCTGATTTTAACGTACGGGGCCATTTCTTCAGATGCGTTTGTGTTCTAACCATGACCAGTCAGGACGCTATAGCTGTGTGAGAGTGTGACGTGATGGTGAGTGAGACGTGCGTTGGTCGTTTTTTGTGTTCTCTTCGATGAAAAAAAAAAATTCTCCAAAGTGGCTAGACCACAAGGTCAACCTGGGTGCCCTTGTGGTCCAGCCACCTACGCGCGTCTGACTGCAAGAGTGATTGTAGGTTTGTTGTTTGTGTCTGCAACGACCAGCGCACGCCATTGTTTCTGACTGGACTGCTGCTGAACCTGCATTGCATGGTTGCGAATGAGTGAGTGACTGTTAGTTACGTTTGTGCCTTTTCATTTTGCATGCCGAGATAGAGAAAGACGTTCCTTCTTTCATTTCTCGCCGCGCTGACGTGATGTCTCGATGCTGTGCTGACACAATTTTTTCCCTTCTTTCCCACCACCTTTCCTGTTGGGGGGTCTTTCGAATCATTAGGAACGTTAAAGCGGGAACTCCAGTCCGGCGCCAACGGCACGAGCGACACGCAGGCTCTCAAGCGTGCGCGCGTGGAAGCGGATTCCACAAGGGACGCGAGTGCTTCGGGTGCATTGTCGACCCCGGTGCACCTTCACATACCACCGTCTCCGGGCTACGACAGTGGCCCAGAGACGGAGTACAGTTATCAGGTAAGAAAAAAAAAATCATCTTCCACTAAAAAGAACCATTAGTAGCTGCTTCGTCAGTAGTATGCAAAGCAGCGCATGGGTTGACTTATAGTTCTGTTCATTGCGGGCACCTTGCCCGATGATAACGTGTTTTGAAAGTGGAGCACGCCATGAATTCACTGTAGTTTCTGTTGCCGTTACCCATGCTGAACTCTTGTTGGAGCACGTGGGCCCACCGCACGTCTGCAAAATCTCATTCCCCAAAGCCATCACGTGATTGCTGAGAGAGTGTAAGGGGGAGAGGCCACAGCCTCTCACACAGTCACTAACGCAGGTCCGAACATGCTAGCACATGCCAGCACATTCTTGCTAGGATACAACGCGTTGGTTCATTGCGCAGAATCTCATTCCCCTACGCTATCACGTGATTCCTGAGAGAGTGTAAGGGGGAACGGCCACAGCCACTTAAGCGGTCCGGAACAAACGCATGAGCGCGCCATGGCAGATCTTGGGCCAGGTGTTGCTCATGAGCAGTAAGGGTGATTACACACACCAGAGTGAGCTCTGCCAAAAGAGGGGAATTGTTCAAGAGGCTTGTTTTTTTTGATAAAAACGGGAACTTTGATTGTCTGTGTCGGGGGTAAGTTATGCAAAAAATTGCCGTGCGATGACATTATATGACATCACCAGCATTTGTGACGTCATTATGATGTAATCATGATGTGACTGTGATGTCATGAAATGACATCACAGTCACATCAGTAAGTTGGTAAAAGGTGGTCTGATCACGAAAGCAATGCAAAACCAAATAGACGCCTGTGATCTTCGAGGCACTGCATGATTACAGTGGCTGCAGAAAGCTTTCAAAGGGGAATATGGAGCTGGATTAATGCATCAACTGAGAGGAAAAATATAATTGTGTTTGTTTTCGAGTTGTCTTAAGTCAGTGTGTAAGGGGCCTTTTGAGTTTTCTTAGACACAACCTAATCAATTGGACAGGCAGTAAAATTGTCAAGGAAACACTGGGGACTTAATTTAGTGCAGCTTTCAACTGTATGGTGTAACGTAGTGCATGTCTCCAGCAGGAACTGCATACTTAGAGTAGCTGGGCACAAGCTTATTTTTACAGGAATTGGTAGACTGCTCATACCTCTGTACATGCTGTAATCGTGCTGCTCATACCACTGTACATGCTGGAGTCTCACTGCCCAGTTGGTGTTGAAGCAATAGACAGCACAAGGGTTAAGCTACGCGCTTCTGCGACTGTGCTTCCTTGTGCCAGCACATTGCTCAGTTACGCCTATTTTGTTGCGACAGCTGCTGGCGTTCTATTTATGACATCATTATCGCATTGATTGCTTTGCCCTTGCGGCAGCGCTGTGGCCTTTTGCAGTTAAACCCCTTATAGGAGACATGCTCCGGGCAGCAATTCTCGTCTTTTACATGAGATGTCTCTTGCAAGCAAGGTAGCTCGTATGCATTTTCTTATAAGCCCGTATTTTACTGTAGGTCCACTGGTGTCTCTTATAGCAGTGTGTTTTATAAAGGGGTTCGACTGTATTTTGATTCATTAAAGAGGGAGGCTACACATGAAGGGCAACTTTTTTTTTTTATGTATAGATCTGAAAAAAATTTTCACAATTTGTTTATTTAGATGTGTAGATTCTAAAAATGTAACTACTTTTTTGATAGGCAGTTTCCAAGATACTCCACAATCAAAGTATAACCTGGGTCCTTTGGAGCCTAATTAGCATCTAAGCAGGAAGCACCATAGCAGTGGCAACAGTGTAGAAACAAAGATGCTTAAGTAGTGCAATACGCTGTAAATCAGTTTACAGGGTCAATTTTAACAAGAGTTAGAGAACATCAATGTTCACAGAAAAAAAAGCCACTTCCACCTGTCATGCATGTGACCCAATTAAACAAAATTTTTTGTGTGTATATTGCCTTCAAAATAGGCATATTGCACACTCATATATCTTCCTGGCAAAAAAAAAAAAAAGAATTATGCAGATAGCTCAAATGAAATAGAAGTTATTTTTCCTCCAACTTAGCAAATGTGCCAAAATTGCTATTTTGAGATATCGAGGAACAATGTTTCAAAACATCTTTATTGGAAAAATACTAATAAAGTCTTATGAAAATGCACCAGGGGCATAATCTGGATGCATCCCATCCTTATGCTTCTTCTTGACCAGCTTTCTCAGACTCAGGGAAGCTTCTATTTGTTCGAGGTTGCCCTCCGACAACATTCCTTCTCTCTAGCCCTCGGGGATGTGCTGCTGAATATCCTGGATGTCCAGCTGCTCTAGAATCGCAGCAAATGCATCGACATTGCCTGTGGTGAAGTGTAGCGCAGCTTCTGCAGCAGTAGCTTGCACAGCAAAAAGAGAAGCATGCTGCTCCTTTGATATCAAACTCTAAATCACGGATTGGAGGCTTTCCTGTGAATTCTGAGTCCTGTCTTGCTGGCATCTTGCCTCGCTGCAGCACCACTTGACTCCGAAAAGCGCTCAACAGCTCCGAAAAGCGCTGTTGCCGACACCGACGAAAGACCCTCAAGTGTCGTGGTTGTCTTGTGGGTGCGCGTATCATGAAGTTCACTGGCATCGATCGGATCAGCGTCTACCCGCACAATGCTGGAGTAAACATTGTGCGCGCTGTCAGGGAGGCTCGTGCTTACGCACACTTCACTGTGGCCGATAGCATCGGCACGGTCATAATCCACTAAGCATCCGCTATCCAGGGAAGTCATCTCGCACACTCCTCCATTGATAACATCTTCAGTACACGTGCGGCTAGCATCCACGCCGCGCACGCACGAGGAACCGTCTTCGGTTATGATGGAATTATCAAACAACGTTGGCGCTTGCTCCCGCGAAACACTAGCAACACCATAGGGCTTTCTGCCTCTGCCTTTTTTCCATGAACGGCCAAAATGATGCTGCAATCGGAACTTTTTCGCACCACCAGCCATAGCAAGATGCACAAGCACGTTAGAGATTTGACACCTTCGCAAGGGCGATACCCTTTCTAAATGGCGGTGGACACTGCCTGCGAGTTTTCCTGGCCAATCGGGCAAGCGCCATTTCGATCACATGTGTCAAGCAACCAATGGAATCATGTGCTGCGTGTGATTTCGACTTCTCTTCTTTTGCTTTAGCAAGGGGCACACAGTTGTCTACTGGCAAAGAAAAAAAAGCTAGAAACGCGACCTTTCCAACAAGATCAAACTGGCGCTGGTGGAGTGTGTACTTCGTGTGCCGTCGGCAGTTGAAGTATGGCTAGTTTACACTTGAATTCAAAGGTCCACGTGCGCGAAGTTGCTCTCTTATGGGTTATGACTTGAGAAATTAGTGGAATTTCGAAGCCAGACTTTGCTGATAGGTGCGGAAGGGCATCGGAAATGCGAAAGTGATGAGAGAGAAAATGCAATTTGTGGGCCGTTTTCGACTTCTAAGTGCCGCGTCTCCCCTTAAGTACAGTAAAATCCTTCTATGATGGAACTGATGGGTAGGCGAAACGCAGGAACCTCGCGTCTTGTGCGATGTCAGTGCAGGTTGAAAAAGACCGTTTCATTAAATCCCACTAAGCAAACGATACGTTGCATGCATCCTTTTGCAGCCGGCATCAACTTTTGTTTGCTTGGTGCCATAGTGCCGAGCGACCAACTGTGCCGCCTGCGTCGGTCGGTGACAGTGATAGCCAATGTGCTGACGGTATTACCATAGCCCAAGTACAACCAAATCTGCCTGTTCCCAAACACACCATGAAGCAGTGCATTATTGGAGATTTTTTTTAGGCTACTCTAATCCAAATAGACTTCATTTTCATGTCTTTCATGATCATTTCTTTTTTTCAGACTGTTCGATTTGTCGGACTCTTTCGGCGTCCCCACCAGGTCAAGAAATTTGGTCGGCGATGGTATATCACTAATGTTGAGATCCAGAAATCATACGAACTTGGAACTTATCGCCTCTGTTTACTGCGTATGGCCCACATTTTCACTGAAGTCTTCACTACAAATGGCAGCATTTTTGCGACCGACATCAAGAAGTGTAGTGGCGCCCCTTTAAACTTCGTCACTCACTGTGTGCAGAACTTGTCTCTACATGTGCTGTGACCATGTTTTTTCAAGTGTCGAGTCTTCTGACAGGTATTGCCCACTTCTCTTTTGTGATGCACTGTTCAGGGCCACGAGACGGAGTTAGTCAAGGACACGAGCGACGATCTCTGGTTCCTCGAGGAGTCCTCGTCAGACTGCATGTCGTCCGACAGCGAGGCTACGCAGCGCCGGCTCTTGCGGGTGGCCGCCCTCGCAGCCGAGCTACTGCAGCGGGAGGAGGAAGGACGCGACAGCGACGACTGCCCGTTTGAGGTTGAGTACGAGATTGAGGAGGAGTCGGATCGCGACGGGGACACAAAGGCCGGCAGCATCTCTTCTGACAGTGACATTGAGGTGAACAGCTTTTCTTATACTGTCCTTCTTATGAGATGTGACAGTCCTCTTTTTTTCTTTTGTGTGATTTAGAGTCCCCAACTGTTAATTTGAACGCTGAGCGAACTGATAGAAGATTCCCCGGGGGGGGGGGGGCACCTTTGTTGGCCTGGTGTTTGCATACTTTTCTAGCATTTTGATTTGATTGATGATATATAGTGGGAAAAAATTTACGTGGACCCTGATAAGAAATAGAGAACAAAGAGTTTCGTTGGTGTGGCACTGTATATTTTTACTAATGTTCTGTTTAGTGGACCAGGCTGTCAAAGTGACAAAGTCTGGTCTACCAGACAAAACGTTGGTGAAAATATACAGGGCCAAACCAACGATAGCCTTTATTTCACGTTCCTAATATATATATTATTATCATCAGCCTGACTACGTCCACTGCAGGACAAAGGCCTCTCCCATGATCTGCCAGTCAACTCGGTCCTGTGCTTGCTGCAGCCACTTTATACCCGCAATCTTCCTAATCTCATCCGCTTACCGAACTTTCTGTCTCCCCCTAACCCACTTGCCTTCTCTGGAAATCTAGTCAGTTATCCTGCCTTCCAGTGGTTATCTTGCCTAGGCACTACATGCCTGGCCCATGTCCATTTCTTCTTGATTTCAACTATGATATCTTCAACCACGGTTCGTTCCCTGATCTACTCTGCTCTCTTCTTGTAAATATAAACACACACACACACACTACTCAATTCATGCGTGTGCTTGTTGGTGTTGCGTGCTAAACCTTAATGATGAGTAATGGCTCTTTATGGCAGTTTTTAAGTAAGAAAAGTTAGTTGACGTGGTGAAGTGGGCAGGACGGTCATTGCAATTTAGTGCTGTCCGGATGAAAGAGGATTTCTGGAAGGAGCTAGTTGGGATGCGTTGCAGCATAGACGGGTTGGGATGAGGACAGTGTGATGTCTGGTGTAGTGTTATGAATGGCCTGGTGGGCAAGGAATCGAAGAACTTATAATAAATGGGCAGAGACATGAAATATTATGACGAGAGGCAAGATGAAGAAGGTTAAGCTGATATTTTACAGTAATCACACTTCCGAGTGATGCGAGATGCTGAATCTGGAAGCATGATTCTGGATGGAGTCGAGTAAACACCTCATTGGCTTAACCCAAAGCTTCTTTTTTAAAATATAAATGTTTATAAACCAAAGCTTCTTGTATATACTTGTGTAAAATGTCATTTCTCTTTGTACAGGAGGTGGGCCAGGCTGAGATCCTCATTTGCGTCAACGATGACGACGCACAGTTCTGGGCTGACTCGTCGGACAGCTACTCTTCCGACTCTGAGATCGGAGATGCAGTGAGTCAGAGGCTGCTATATTTGCTTGTGAGACCTTTTTAGGGGCATTCTGAGCAAAACATTTGCTGCTGAGATCAAATCAAAGTTTGTGTTTTCATGCAACCTTGTCTTCAGGCAGGAAGTGGCGAAAATGAAGTGATCTTCATCGATTTTTCATAAACTGTCGTGTCTAGCGGCCACATCATGAACTACAGGAGGTGCTGTTTAACCTGCTAGAAACAGATTTACCATCCATCCCAGCCATTGCCTAGATCTCTCAATTCGTTTAGCTCCCACTATAGTTCTGTAAACCACTGCATATTATTAATGTGTTACTGTGGCACGCTTTTTGTTAATATGGTGTTAGGTGCACCGACCAGTGGGACTAGTGGCTATGCCTCTATGTTATGCTCCCAATGAGATGGTGCTGAGGCCTTTGCAGCGGGCATCTGACGAGTTTATTTGAAAGCTGTTTACCGCCTCCTTTGCTTAAATATATGTTTAAAATACGAAGTGTTTGCCACAAGGAAACGCGAAAGTTGAAATTTAGTAAGAATATGAACCAAGGAGATTACACTGCCATCTCCGTGTTCAAGTGTTAAAAATTTGTCGCAGCTGCTAGCAGATAAATGCACCTAAATTCACAGCCACATATCGGGATCATAGGCATGGGTCACCATAGGGGACCCACTGGTGAGCCATGACGCTTTGAACGTGCCTAAGCCAGTTCATAGAGTGCCATTACAACTCCGTGACACTTGGTGGTGTAGGACCTGTGGCAGTGCCGACTGTGTGGTATGGAGTGCGAGCCCCACGGCATGTCGCATGTTCAACGGTACTGCACCACCTGCTGGAAAGAGCGGTTCGGATGGTTGCCAGACCGGGAGGAGCGACACCCGCCGCAGAAGAAACGTCGCAGGGTGCAGCGTCGCAACAGCCACGGAACGAGGAATCGTCGGGCATCAAATGCAACGGGCATCAACGGCGTTAACTCCTCGGACCGGCTCCAGCTGAACAGTGCCGGCGAAGAAAGCCCAGCTGGGTCGTGTGGTGACAGTGCAAACTCGCCCTCGGAAGTGTGTAGTTTGGTGAGTAGCGTTGGCGGCTATGCTTTATGAGCTGCGAATGATGATGTTTCAGGCAGCCAGAAATGCAAATACAGTAAACTCTCGGCAAACGAAAATACGTTATACGGAACTACTGGTTAAACGGAACTATCGCCTCTGCAATGCTTGGTTTCGGGCTTGTATTTTGCACCCATGTTAACCTCTCAGTAAAAGAAACTCCTGTTAAATGAAACGTATTTTCCCAGTCCCTTCATATTCTGTTCAATGAAAGAGAGTCTACTGTATAGAAAAGCATTTCCCTTTAGCATACTGCGAGTGAACTCCAATCCATCCTTCAAAGTTCATTGCAAGAGAATCTCTCTTGAAGTGAGGTCGTGTTATGTTATTTTCGTGTTATATTGGGCTATCCATGCCATGGCCTCTTAAGTCGTAGCGCAGGACCTGAGGGGGATGTGGCTTTGAGATTGGGAAAAATATGAAAAAAAAAAAATTCTTGAAAATTTAATTTTCAGTTTCTGGAACACCTTTTTCTATATATATTTAGAATATCTATGCTGAAAATTGTGCAGAAATGTATTGAAAAGTCTGTTAAACCCTCCTAGGTGGCAAAAATTATTGTCTATCAAAAACGCTAAAGAACAGTGATTTTCAAACAATATACAGTCAAACCTCGTTATAACGAAATTGAGAGGGGGTCTTAATACTTTGTATAACTATTAGATTAATTCGTTATAGCCAATATTCATTTCTACTGACAATTAGCCAGCAAGAGAGAATGTACTCACTAACGAATATCACAGTAGCCTGTCGCGCAGAGAACGGCCGTCGGAAGGCAAAAAACTAACAAAATAATAAAGAACAATGTACCTTTCCACCAAATTCGGCACAATTCGGCAATTTCATCAAATTCGGCAAACAGCTGGAAGATCGCTTTGAAGAAAATAGACCATAATAGGCTTTTACCGACTGTTATTCATGTGGACAACTGCTTTTTAAGCTGCAGCAAGTATTTCGAGTCTGTGCTCGCCGTCATCGTAAGCACCAAAGAAGCGACACAGCAGGTCTCTCGCATCCAGCGCTTGTGCGGGCTTCGGTACATCGGTTTCGCCAACATTAGGCTCCGTGGTGTCGACACGTTCGTCGCCGTTGTCACGCACGGCAGTCACCGAGGGCACAATTTTCGCATCTGACAACTCTTTGGTTGTCACCGTCAGCATTGGCACCGACATACATGCAGAAATTGTCGCAGTTAGGCACAACGCTGGTGTCAAGGAGAGTGTCCCACGACGTCTGGGCCTGGTCCACCGCAATGCCCACTGGCGACATCGCTGAAATCTTCGGCCACTTTTTCTTCTTGACGCTAGGCTTTCAACAGTGCCGACTTCTGCTCGATTGTTAAATTTTGCACTTACATGTGGCGTTGCCGTTGTCCATCTCGTGTCTAGTGGCAGAAACTGATGGAGGTGGTGAGTGAATGACAAGGTAGAAAGCAACAAACACGCTTTTAGGTCAGCATCATCGATCTCCGCCGCCGTGCGGAGCTGAAGGGGAGAAGAAAGTCAGGTGTGCGGGCCAGTCAACGAGTTCTACAGGAGAGGGGAGGCCGGATGACGCGCACGCTTGTGCAAGTTGATGTGCAGACTAGTTCGTTACTTTCTGAGGAAAGGGGAGGCAGGGAGACTCACTCCCACACACGTGTTGGCAGGCGGCTCCTAGGGAGCGCAAGGCGCGAGTTTTAAATTCCTGCAGCCGTGATGTGACGTAAAATGTCGCGCCCTATAGGATGTTGAATTGACGTACAGTCGAGTCCGCTTATAACGAACCTGAGCCTGGCGCGGCATCTGTTCGCTGTATCCCGAAAAGCGCGCGCGACCGAGAATCACAGGCACGGAAAGACCACGGAGATGCACAAAGCGCTGTCGGCGTGCGAGATTCTCCCAACGCACCACCAACTGCGCAGTGCCGCATGAGGTGGCGGTGCCATTGGCGAGGTGGCGGTGCCGTTGGCGAGGTGGAAGGCAGTGCCGCAAGCTCGAATGCGGACAGAGCGGTCGTGCAAATGAGCCCTAACCTTTTCGCCGAACAGCGAGCTCGAAGCCCCGCTATCCAGCAACGCCGCAAACTCTCGACCAGCGATCGTAAGGGCGATGAACGACGCCGGCGTGGCTGGAATGTCATGTCCAGCGTGACACACCATCGGTTCCAGAGGTTGTGTTACACTCCCGTGCTCTCTTACTGCTGCAGCCGCCGGCAAGGGGGAGCTCACCGACTGCTCACCCCGTTTCCCGATGAGCGAGCAGGCCCTTGTGTCGGTTGGGGCGCGTTGCACTCATGCGCAATGTGACCGCGCTCACAGCAACGAAAGCAGACGCCTTTTCCTCCAACAGGGGGGGATTTTGGCAATCCTTTAGAGCTGTAAGATGTCCGTTCGCTAGCTGTAGGGGGGGTTCCGCGATCGGACATTCCCTCGTGCACGGGAGCACGGGGTTTCCTTTCTTGTTCACACTGCTGGGCAACGGTGGCCGCCCGGGCGTACGAGTTTGAGTTGACAGCGCAGTCTGACACGTCGAGCACGTCTCGGTCTCTTGTGGCATAGGACGCCAATGGTTCGGGGAGCCCCGGTGTTACAATTCACGACCAGCCCACGCGCAACGAGGCTCGAGAGACGCGGACGGCAGTGCCGGCGGGCGATAGGCTCGCGCCGCCAGAATGTCGCCCTGAATATGCTTCGCATTGGATGCCAGCTTGTTTAGGTCACGATAAAGGGCGCTCCGAAGGTAAGCGGCAAAAGTTGGATGAGCCTGACGTATGGCTCGCTCCACCTTCTCGGCATCTCATATCGTAGGATCCGGCAATGAGGTAGAGCTCCTGCAAAGCCCGAACGTACTCGAGAAGAGATTCGTCAGGATGCTGTGTGCGAAGCTCTAGCTCGCGACGCATGTGGCGCTCGTATTCAGGAGGAAGGAATTCGCTTCGGAAGAGGGGCCTAAACTTCTCCATCGAGCGGGCTTGGTGGCCGACGAGCCGGTACCACCTCGCCGCTTGGGCTGTCAGCAACACGGGCAAAACAGAGCCTAGCATAACGCTGTCGCTCAGCCGCGTAGCCTGCTGATAGCGGTGCAACGCCTCGAGGTACTCTGTGGCACTGATGCCGTTCGAATAACCGCTGTACTTAAGCAGAGGTACCCTTAAGCTACTCGGTACGCTTGGCTAAGGGGACTCGGGGTCTCCCTTTAATGCACAAGGCAGCGAGCGCACCGCTTCCAACAGAACGTTTAGGAGCTGCGCTGCAGTTGCGTGCAGCGGTGATTGCTCCGGGGCGGGCGTGGTCGTAACATATGCGCGCGCCTGTTCCCCAACATGCCCGTCCGACCGTAAAGGGCCTAGTACACGGTATGGAGGGCGGTAGGGTTTGCGCTCCGACTGGTGCTTGAGGCCTCACGCGACTGGCAAGTGGGTCGACAGCGGTGGCCAACGTCCGTCGAAAACGTCGCCTACGCGAGTCTCAGGCCAGCGAGCGTCGGTGAACGCGGCGACGGTGTCGGCTAAGCGAGCAGGCTCGCGAATGACATCGTCAACCCTTTGCGCTCGCAGCCACGGCGAGTCAGTATGCTCGTTCCCGCCCACACCTGAGCGCCCCGGTAAAAAGGATCGGGTGCGGCGATTTGAGCTGTCAACCTGTGCTGCTGACGGGGAAAGGCCAGCGAGCGGAGAGTGCGCCGGGGACGGGCCCGTAAGCGCGCGTCTCGAACAGCTGATACAGCCCGTTACTGGCTTGGCTATAGGACTGTGGTCCTCGTTCAAGGGGGCTTGCATCACTGTGGGGGGGCCCCGAAAAAGGGATCTCTCTTGGTGAACGAAAGCAGAGGGTTGGCAAGAGGCCTGTACCCCGTGCTGTCGCAGCCGTCCGCCTTGAACGAGATCAAGTTTGTTGCCACAGGATCGAACAGGAACTAGCGCCTAGAAGGGGTCTGCTCTGAAGCCATGCCGAAACCACGTTGGGCCCCAGTTATGTGGAGATAAGTTTGCACTAGGCTTACCTACTAAGTGCAACCTTGTAAGGATGCGATGTCCTCCACTGCAGCTGCGGCCGGGTTCGTCGTTTTCTCCGACACGGCACAGAAACCACCCATGAGGCAGGATAACAACAACGGGTTAATTAACCCAAGATGCAGCACAGTGCGACACTCACGGGCTTGCAGGCCGTATAGGGAACTCCGCAAGACCGAGCAAGTACGCTTGCCTACGACGCGACGACAAACGCACAAGGGCCGAAGTCGAACACACGAACGAGAGGCCGCCTGCTGAGCAGCGCGTGACCCCTCGTGAAGGCCTGAGTGCATCTGCCGCGATGAGCGAATGGTCGGGTGCAACATAGCTCGCAGGAGAGGAGGATGTCTCATGCACCCAAAGGAAAATTGCGCTGCATTGTGACGTAGGCCCGCGCAGCTCACCAGCGTAGCGTGCCCGGACATGCCAGTGCGGGACAGAGCCGATGCTTGACTCGCCCAGACCTAGAGGCGCCCTGGCAGCCATCTTGGCGAATGCCGATAATTATGCGCGCCCATGCTTCACGGTCAGCGCGCGCGTGGAAGCTGGGGAACGAGGTGCCAGGTAGGGGGGTGCTCTCGATCCACACAGTTCTTTGCACTGACAGCTAATACAGAAGCCAACAATATACAGTCGAATCTCATTGATTCGAACACGCTTAATTCGAACTTTCGGGTTAATTTGAACTCACACTGTGGTCCTGTCAAAGCTATGTGTATTTCAGTGGGTGAAACTGCCCTGTAATTCGAACGCGCAAGCACCTTCGACGGTTAATTCAAAAATACCGCGCTCTGAGAATACTCTCAGCACCGTGCCCAATCCCAGGGCGGCACCTCCGACACCTCAACACTGCACGCAAAGGAGGAAAAAGGACAAAAGGAAAGAAAAGGCTGTTGCGGAATGTTTGCTCTCTCTTGAATGCCAATCTGCGATGCGCCTGTGCCACGCTTCTCCCTCTTCTGTCCCTGCCACGTAGAGACCTTCCTCCTTTCAGTGTGGTGTGCGAAGAGAAAGAGAGGGAAAAAATATAAAGCTGACGTGGAAGTGTTAGTTCTCTCGCCGATCTGCGACGCGGGGGTGCCACGCTTCCTCCTTTCTTGTCCCTGCCACGTAGAGACCCTTGTCCTTTCAATGCCGCACGCGAAGAAATCAAGAAAAAAAAACGGAAAAAAGAAGCAGCTGCTGTAGAGTGTTGATTCTCTCTCAAATGCTGATCCGCTTCTCTCCACATGGAGACGCTCCTCCTTTCTCGTCGTGCTGGCCGCTCCAGCTGCGGCGCAGAGGGTAGCAGCGAAGATGCTGTCGTTCTTAGAGAGTGTTGGCGCTAGACATTGCCGCGCGCAACTGCTCTTGCCAGGAGAATGCTGAAGCCGAAGTAGAAGCGCGTTGCAAACTGGTGCGAAATTGATTGACTCGCTGCAAGGGAAATGTGTGCAGACGATTAATTCAATTAATGACGGATGTCCTGTGATTTGTGAATAAATGTAAGTCTTCTGCAACATCTCCCTCGTGTGTTAGATCAATGCACATGTGCCACTGTACCATGAGCCCTCCGTTCATTTAGCTTTCATTACTTTTAGTTCGAACAAATTTTCTGGCCCCTTCAAGTTCAAATTATCGAGATTCGACTGTACATATCATGTTCAGATTCGGAAAGAAACTATACCATGTGAATACCCTCGTAACATGCTTCTCTAAGGGGGGTTCCCAAAGAAACTGTAGCATTCTAGATCCATTGTTTGCACTTTTATTCTATATTGCAGATGCTGATAAATGTGTTTTGCCTCATTTCAGAACATCGATGGTTCTCAAGAGAGCCTCAGTGGTGGGAGCGGGCCGATGAGGTTGTCGGTGAGTGCGTCCTCATTTTACCTGCACGGGAACATGGGTGCCCTGTTTGTGTCCGTACAATCAGGCTGCCGGCTCTTGGGTATTTTGTAGACTTGTGTGAATTGTCAATTTTGAGTTTGAAGCTAATAGTGAGTTTGGTCGAATAATTTCGAATTGAATTCGAAATTATAATGAAAAGTGGGCATATTTGTCATTACCAAACTAATATGCACAATACATTTAAAAATTGAAACAAGGCCTGTGCAAGTGTCGTTTTTTTTTTTTCTAAAAAAAGTGTGAACAACATTGAATAGTAGCAGGATTTGACATTTGGTAGAATGCAAGTGATAGCCTACATACCAGTAAAAGCCCGTATATAGCCCAGGGTTTTTTTTATGTAGATTTTAGGGTATGAAATTTCGGCCCCGTACTATATCCGGTCCCAGAAATTTTCGGCCGAAATTCAGTTTTGGTTTCAACATAGCGCGGTGCTATCATCATCATCAGGTGTTTGAGCGCTTCAGCGCTAGGTGCTAGGTAGTGTTAGCGGCGATAGCAGGCGTTAGTCTTACAGACCCATGCGTGCAACAGTGGTCAGTGGCCCTTGCTTCAACTTGGCGCCCATAAAGACGACAACGATTTTGCTCCTGTGATTTGACTGCCATGTCGGCACCGCTGCAGGCAGTAGTCGGCTATTTTTAAAAGAAAAGTTATTGCTGCTGGTGAAACGATTGGCAACAGTGCTGCGGAGCGGCAGTTCGGAGTCAACGAACAGAGTACTTATGGTTGCCAAAAGCAGGACGCCCTCTTTGCTTGCAGCGGCTAGTGAAAAAGTTTCAGCAGAACAAAAAATGGAGCGTTTCCTGATGTGGAACGAGAACACGCAGACTTTGTGCGGAGAGCAGCGAGCTGCACATCTTGCCCGAGAGATCGCCCGAGACAAAGGCGTTCAGCTGGAGGATTTCAAAGCAAGCAAGCACTGGGTGTCCCCCTTCATGCTCCGCACTGGGTTCTCTCTACCCTCGGCATATGTGGATCTCGCAGAAGCTACCCAAGAGCTATGGAGAGGAGCTTGTGAAGTTTCAAAAGTATGTAATTGTGTTGTGAAATACTGTCCCCTTGCAGCTGGGCCAGATCGGCAACGGGTATCAAACCGGTGTACTTGGATATATATGCGGTGCATGAGAAAGCATCCTGGCAAGATATCGTGCGATCGACTGGGAAGGAAAAAACGCGAATGACTGTAATGTTGTCCTGCACTGCAGACAGTCGTAAGCTACCACCCTGCATGGTGTTCAAACAAAAGACGCTGCGAAAGAGGGAGAATTAAAAAAAAAAAAATGTCGTCCGCTGCGAGGACAAGGGGTGTATGGACAAATCGCTAGTGCTTGACTGTATAAAGTCCGTGTGGTGTTGACGGCCCGGAGCACTGCTGGGGCTCCCTTTGATACTGGTGCTAGATCTGATCGACTCCGTAAAGCGACTGCCGCGCGACTCCCCGCACCGAGCTTGTTGTCATCTCTCCCGGAATGATATCACAGGGATCACATCCTAGCTGCAGCCACTTGATGTGTGCCTTGATAAGTTTTAAGGACCATGTCAAGCGCCTCTACGCGGAGTGGATGAGGTCCGGAGGATCAGAAGAGACACCTCCCGGATGGCTGAAACGGGCCTCGCCAGCGATGCTGTACTCGTGGATAGTCTTGGCCTGGACCTGCATTCGTGAGGCGCTCGTTTGCTGCTTGTTCAAAATGTGCTCCTCTCGAACGCGCTTGATGACACTGAGGATGATGTGTTGTGGGGGATTTACGACATGGGAGCTTTGAAAGAGACTGCGTCTGACGACGATGAATGAAGTGTGTTAATAAATGCATTTTATCATTTTACTGACGCTATATTCGAGTGAAAACTTTTTTTCTCGCGTTTGTTATCCCCAAATTACACACCGGAATATATGTGGGTCCGATCTATGTGGGCTTTTACGGTGATTCGAGCATATAAACTTGCATAACAGCCTTTTAAGCTTAGAAAAAGATGAATCATAGAGGTGAGTATGTTCATTTAACATTGAAGTGAGGCTTCATAACAGTCAGATTTTTTCAGGGTAGATGTTTTCATGGCTTAGCATTCCTTTTCCGCTGTGAAATTACTTTCACAGGAAGTTACATACGAATTAAGCTGCGTCCCATCTTAATACACTTGAACAGGTGCTTTTACGGCTTCGCACCCATCCACTGCAATAAAACCACCTTTACAGGGGCTATATGGAAGCTAATATACTCTTATTAGTTCATTGTGAATACTTTGAAATTTTCAATGATTTATTTTCAAATTCTAGCGAATTTGAATAGTTTAATATTTGTTCGAATATTTCAAGCATTTGAATATTCGCTCAAGCCTAGTATTTTGGTAAAATGGAAGGGTGCAAAGGTTGGGGTGCCTGTGGGTGACTGCTACAGTTTAGAGCGCACCTATTAGGTGCCTGTTTGTACCTTGGGTGTTGATATGTGTCGCCCTGAGTGAACGAGTACAGTGGAAGATGAAAGGTGCATGTGGAACTGTCGGAGTTCTGAATGCAGCCATGCAGCATGGCATTTCCATTTCTTCCGATGCCGCCTGATGGTTCGGGGCTCCGCACATTGCTGCGGAAAATTTTCTGAGTGGGGCTAGTGCGCGTTGGAACTGCTTGGTGGGGTGACACGATCGGTGCTTACATTCATGCATTGTGTCCTCTTTTGGCTTCACGCTGTCACTTTACGTGTACTGTTAGAAAAAGATGAACAGCACTCAACATTGGCACTACAATGTCCTTATTTCATAGTCGAAATGAAGAACTGGGCATTGGCCAGGCACGTAGTGCTTAGGCATGATAGCCGCTGGTTATTGAGGGTAACTGACTGCATTCCGAGAGAAGGCAAACGTGTGAAAGGAAAACAGAAAGTTATGTGGGCAGATGAGGTTAAGAAGGGATGCAGGGATCAAATCGCAAAAAAAAAAGGCAAGAAAATCAATTTTCTGGATATCTCATTTTCAGTTTCTGTAGCATTGTTTCTATTCAATTTCGTAATATCTTCACTGAAAACCAGTCATTGTGCCAGCAGAGGTGGCGAAAGTTGAAGTTAATCTAAAAAGTTAAAGGTAATCTAAAAAAGGAATGCGTTTTTAAAAAAAATTATTGCTCTGTGACGGCGCAACCAAGCAAGGCGATCTTGGGCTCGTGGGAAAGAGAATTTCGTGTTCGAATTCTCCACCTTATCTGGCTCCTCCCTTTGAATACAAGCGCACAAAAAGCAAATGCGTAAACGTCGTTTCGAGGCCCTCGATAGGCTGCGACCAGCACTTCATTAGATCAAAGAATTTGTTTTATGGAGGTTTGTTATAAGCAGGCTTAACTGTATAATGAAGTTGTTTTAAATGAGCTTGTATAATGAACTTGTAAAAACTTTGTTGTAATGAGGTTTGAGCTCAGTGTGAAACTATAGAGTATTCTGATCATTCGACGTTTTCTTAACGCAAACAGCCCACTGATGACTGTGAAGATGGAAGCAGCTTTGGCATGGCGACAACCTGTGAAAGCCAGGAACAGCCAAATAACTGGTCGCAGCCCGGTTGTAGCTCGGACAAGCGGGACGGTGACACGGTGGCATTCCACATTGCAGCCGAGCTGTGCACCATCTGCAATGCCCGCCCCAAGTGTGGCATTCTGGTGCACGGCCGGACTAGTCACCGCCTCAGTTGTTACAAGTGTGCGTTGCAGCTGCAGAGGCTTAAGCAGCCGTGCCCCGTGTGCCGGCGCCGGATCCAGCGTGTCGTGCGCAACTTCGACGCCTGATTCAAGTGACGGCCTTTGGTCGGGTGCTCATGCACCCGTTCGCCTTTTTGTGGAGAAGCGAAAGAATATACAGTTGATTCATGTTTGTCATGGCAAATTAATTAAGTGCACCGCTCACTTAGATGAGAAGAAGACAAAAAAACAAAGCAAGTGACATTAAACGGAAGTGTTGTTCAAAGAGGAAGTATATAAATACAGAAGATGGCGTGTTGTTCAAAGAGGAAGTATATAAATACAGAAGATGGCTTGACGTACATGTGTTGAGGCAGTGATTCTGGTAAGCAACAGCAAATCACAAGGAGTGTGGTTATCAAGATAAACTATGAAAAAAAAAAGCCAATTCCTTGTCAGGTCGTGAAACCGAATCGCCTCTTTTTTGGTAGGCCTGTGTCATTTCTCGGGTTACTTGTTGTAGTTCTCCGTCAGATGGGCTATCTTGTCAGTATGCACAGCATGTAATGTTGAAGTATTTCGCTTGTGTGGGAAAGTTTTTTCCTGTTGCCTTCCTTTTGTGTAAGGCTGTGGTGCACTTATTATATTTTCATGATGCTTCTTGTGAAGTCTTCCAGTTTTGCGCAGTGTGCCGCAGAATTTAGCGAGCTGTGCGCAACTTCGACGCCTTGGCCGGGTGCACTCTTTGTAGAAATTTAGCCACAGCGCGGAACTCTGTCGTGAATTCTTACTGTTTCTTAACAATCCACAGACTGTCACACGGAGAGGTGCTTCTGCGAAGCTGAATTTTTTATTTGTGTGTGCGTAATACACTTTTGCTTGTTCGTTAAGCGAGCACACTATTTTGCACTTTAATTCTGATGGTGGTGTTTGTCAAGAACCACGTCTTTTTGTGTCGTTATTGATATCTTGAATGCTGGTGCCACTATGAACTAGTGCAGTTGAATCCCATCAGCATGGAATGAATGGCATACTCAAAGAACTTACTGCAAATATTCTCGTACTGGTAAGGTCTTTAGTGGACGTGTGACATGTCGAAAATCTTAGGCCTAAGAAACCTCTTTCTTCATTATTTTTTTTTCTGTCCACAATTCTGGATTAGCCGGGGTTATGACATGGTGCTCGACTCTGTGCAACATAGTACATCAGCCATGTCTACTACTCATGTTTCTATTCATTCCATTGCTCATGCCCTTGATTAAATATTAGTTCCTCTCCTGTGAGCTCTTGGTCAAGTGTCGCACTTAATGCAAATTGTTCGCAAGGTCTTGTTTTCCGTGCTACAGCACACATCCAGGCAAAGGCTTACGTGGCAAAACCTGCTAGTGGCATTTGTGCGACCTTGCTTAAAATAGCATTCATTAGTGGCTTGGTGAAGCTTTGCATTGCTGCAAAAGCAGATGATTAGAATAGCGCTTTGTCATGCTGATAGCACTGAGGAATCCTTTATGATTTCTTAGTAGTTGCCCATGTTTCGTGTTGACTATTCCCAAGTCCACCTTGTGTTTTGACCAAGATGCCAAAGAAATGACCTGTATTTCTATGAAGAGTCTGTCACATGCTTTACAGCATGCTATCCTTGACTGCTTTGTTAAAATTTTGCCTAAGGAGTTGTCCAAAACAAGACTGTTTTATTTTTATTTTGATTGGCACATTGCCATTTCAAGGGTTTGACTCTCTTCCATAACCTGTCCAGTAGCCACTGAAGTTAGAGTTCATTACGCTGTGACTGTTTCTTCATTGACAGACTGTGTGGGCATTACATCAGTAGAAGTGAAATGTTTACAACAGTTTATCTCAAAGGAATTATGGAAAAAAAATCACAAGAAAGCAACACCCATGGCTCTGTGGTTCAACTGCACTGATGACAGCACCAGCTTCCATTCTTGTGTCTGATATGAGTGTATTGGGAAGTAAACAGATTGTTTAATACATATCCATATATCCATAGTTAATATATACCTGTAAATAAATAAATTCCTTAGCCATCTTTTTTACAACTTTTTAGTTGCTCTTGAATGCTTGTGTGATGCTTACAAACTCACGGCGTGACAGGATTAAACTGTCATACATCTTGTCAGTGACATTGGGAGTATTGTGTGCTTGGCCAACAAGCGTAGCAGTGGCTAATATCCGATGTCTGTGCTACGTAGGACTAGTAACTTCTGTTGTTTTGTTGCAGGTTGAGGCCTGCAAATCGCACACATCGCATCATTTCCACCATCTTTCATGGCATTAGCCTTTTGACTTGCTCGTACTAAATACCATTACAAATGACATTAAGTTATAGCTCATGAGAAGTGTTCGACTGTGTGCTCTTTTGCATTGGTTTCATTTGTGCATAACTACAGTTATCAGCAGTTAATGTGTAACCTTAGCAAAATTGTATTTTGTGATGGATGAAGGTAGCATCTGTGTTCGTAGGATGAGCTAGTTCTTTTTCGTCCCGTGAGACTAGCTAAATTGCTATTTACAGCCGTAACTTTGGGGTCACAACCCTTTCGAGGGAAGGGCTTCTGCAACACTTCGTTCCACCTATAAGTTCGCAAATTGCTGCTGTCAAACATCGTTTTCGTTAAGTCGCCTCCTGGTTTCACGGAACGTAACTGAAGACCTCAAACCAGGCACTATTGTCGCAGGGAAAAGTATGCTTCTCTCTGTGTAAATATCGCACCAGAGCCTCGTGCACACAACTACACTTTTCGATTCAAATGGCTTCTTTCTGTAAGCTAGAACTTTTGTTGTGCATGACTGTCTCATAGTACCTCAAGAGCCAGAGCTTATGATTCAAGCACATTTCAGCGTGTAGCTTCGAACTTTCTTCTGTACATATGTCTCTCGTCTCATGGTGAGGTCCGCAACTCCTGTAAATGTCTTTAAATACTAGTAATGGGCAAGCTGTTTGCTTCTACATACGTGGTACTGGAACAGCCAGTTGTTTTGGTGAATGGAAGTCTAACTCCAAACTTAAATCGCTTTTCAGTGATAGAAGCAGTGACACATCTCCCACTCGTTTTTGTTTGGGAACAAAGAGACAAAATAATTTCTTTGAATGAATTTTCTGTCAAGAAAATTCAGAAATTTTTCCATAAATTTGAAAACTTTTTTGTTTGCAGAAAAAATGAAATTGTTTTCAATAGCAAGACCGACTTTTTCCAATGTTTCAGTCAAATATTTTTCAATAGTTGCATGTGAAACATGATCTTTGACTGCATGGAGGTGTGAGTGTCCCGCCCCCCTTTTTTTCTACAAGATGTGATTTTTCGGGAAAAGGCTGTTTCGAAACTCAAAACTGCTGCTTAAGGGTATGAGCTTATTTTCTTTATCAGGTGACACTAGTTAAATTCATATTTAATATCACGGCACTTGCTAGTGAAGTGCTTTGTGTTAGGGTCATCTTTAAAGTGCCTTCTGTTGTGCTTGTACATTTTTTCATTGCCCGTATTGTGTTAAATACGTCATTTGTGCAATAACACACACTAATTCTTTATGAATTGAAGAACGTATTTCTTTTTGTATTCAAAAGGAGGCCTTAGAAAATGTTGCCAGCTTTTTTTTTTTTCGGCACATTGCGTTTAGTAATTTTTTGTGGTTTAACCTGCTGGCTGTATTTGAAAAGTCAGTCTTATATAATAATGTCTGAGGTGAATAAGTCGCATATAGATTTTTTCTAGAAAGTGTTTGTGCGTTCATGTTAGGCTTAAGAAATTTTGTTCCAAGTTTGCAGTGGTAAGAGTGCGAGGCCATCAACATCACATATTCTAAGGGATACATACAGGCTCTTCAATCTCCCGCAATACGATCTGCCAAACCTTATATGGTGTATGCTTTGGGCATCGTGTTTGAAAGGTGGGACATGCAAACATGGACACTCGATGTCGGGTCAACATGCAGTATTTGTATTGTCCTAAGTTCTCATTTATGTCTGTATTTCCACGCCCAATCTTTTGACTTGCAACCCTTTCATCAATGTGTGTCTTTATCTTTGCAGCGAAATTGCCACTGTGCTTACTGTTGAGTTGGGAATTTTTCTCGTGCGTTGATTAATCGTCACAGTTTATCCCTGAAGTTATTGCATTTTCACTTGAAGAACCATCATATACAATGTTATGTTAGATTCCTAAGCTTCCCTGTCTGTTGAGGGTTCATTTCGTCACGTCATTAAAAATAAAAATATTGAAAAGAGCCGAGGGCAGTGAGTAAGTTTCAGTGCTGTGTTACTTTGTATTTTTTGCCCAATAAATTGGTCGGTGGAGCTTGTTATACACACTGATTAGAAAAAGCACAAATCAACGCAGCATAAGGTGAATAAAGCTACAAAAGAATACTTTGTACACATAATAATGCTGTGTTTTGCACACTGCATGTGAGTAGGATGTCACAGATGCTCTATACAAAGCTCTGCGTTTTTACTGATGTGATGCTGTTAAGAATACATTGTATACTGCTCTAAATCTCGGCTATAGTAGTAAGCATTAAGTATGCTGTATCAAAGTAAGGCTATTTTTGTGGTGATTGCTGCATAGTGTCTCATATTTGCTGCGACTGAGAAATGTAGTGTTCGGGGTGAAGAAAACGCCGGGAAGAAAAAGTGTGTGAAGTGTCTTATCTTTTCTGAAATGTCTCGGCAAATCGATCTCACAAAACTTCTTAGCATTGATTATTGGGGCCTTGTTTTTTTCTTACGGTGTTTCATGTTCAGCTTGTAGATGTTCGCGCGCTTTGTCATTGTGCATCATTAATTACTACTTGCTATGAGTTATGCAGAGGTTGCTACGAGTTACGCAGTGGTGCTCAAAAACCTTTGACTTAGTTCAGCACAGCAGTTTTCAAGTATTTAAAATCTCATTGGTCTGCTAAGTTTGGGTGGAGCGAACTCGGAACCTAGTAATGCCGTGTGGTTTACATCCAGTGAAAGAAAGCTTGCCCCTCGTTGAAACTGTACATCGCTTCATGGCGGGCATAGTGACCTGTATGTGCTGTACACTGGTGACTAGAGTTGTGAAAACGAGTGCACTCTTGTTTCACAACTCGAGTAGAAATGTGTGTAGCATCTTGCATCCTATAGCTCAGACACTCTCACACGACTCAGATGTATATGTATGTAGTTAGATCTACGTGTTTATTGTACACTGTGCAAAGTGCCCCACCGATACAGGAAGTGGTGATTTTTATACAGTGTGTTTGATCATGAGCTCTTTGTTCGCAATGACTGGATTCTTCAAATGCCTCAGAACTCCAAATTGTGGAGATGATGTCCGGTTCAGCGTGAAGAACGCTACTCGTGTTGTCTCGCTTTTTCGCAACTTTGCCGCAGTAGTTTATTACAGAGAAGAGAAAAATGTCGAACGCATCCTCCGCGGCTCAGTTTGGCAGTTTAAGGAACGGATTTATGTGCACGAGATGTGTGCCAGCGTGACCTATTGCGTCTTGGTCGAGGAACGGGCGCTTGAGACACCTGTGTAAGTTTCAGTTGTGTAGCACCAGCTGCATTGTGGTGGATTCATAATTTATCCACACGAGTGATTGTTTTTCTGCACCGCAACAGCTACTTTGCTGCTGTAATTTGCACAATTGCCAATGCCTGAGATTCTGAATTGTAAATATAGCAGCTCTGGCTATAGTAATTTATTTCATCAACACATCTTGTATCAAACAAGTTTTTCTTTGAAACGTGAGTTTGGTAGTGGACTTCACTACTGTTATAAATAAATCTGCTTGTTTTGTTTTACCTTTTTGTAATTTCAAGTGTCCATGTCCTAGCTAACGTCGGAAGAATGTGACGAGCACCAAAGTTGTGTCGTGCGTGAGTTTGTGTAAAGTTGTGTTGTCAGTTTTGTGTGGCATATAATAGCTTGTGTTAATCGGGAATCTTCGTTTATCTTATTGCTTTTCTGCTGTCTGCACGTTCTCGTTATAAGTGGTTGTGGATGTTGCACTTTTTTATTGTGGCTGGCTGTCTTGGGGAGACAGTCAAGAGGTCTGCTGGTTAAGGTTATATAAAGTGTATGTTATTAATGTTTTTATGTCACTCCCCGTTTTTGATTTGTGTGTATTTTCATGGCTTTGAATTTGCTGGGTTTGAGGTTTTCGGACTAATTACGGTGGGGATATGTATGATTTTTCGTTGTCTGATGTTTGTACTGCTTAAAACTAAGTGCCGTTTAAAACGTAAGCTTTTGTCCGTGTCTTAGCTGTCCCTGCTTACGTATCCCGCTCATATTTCCAACCATCATGATCAACTAACCAAATCTACCATTGTGACAAGTTTGGAAGTAATTTTCAGCTTCAGGACCACAGTGACATCGCTTAATCAGCTCTGCATCTCAAACGCTTCTTATGTTTGCTGTGTGTTACTCCATTCTTTTGTGCAAAATCACTAAAGCTTGTCGCTTTGAATATGCTACGTTGCCACGCTGCTTCGATGCCATGGTGTTATTCTAGTACAATCTTGTGCATGAATTCTGCTAAGGCAGTCACATTTGTTAACCCATGTTGCATTTGCATCTCTGGTTTTCTGGTTCATCCTGTTTGCATTTGAAGGAGTGTGGATACCAAAAGATTTTGGCGAAGATTTAAAATCTTTCTGCTGAGAGATATAAAACCTGTGTGTGGTAGTGTAATTTAGTAATAACGGAACAGCAGTGTGACTGAATAGGGCCAAGGGGCTGACATTAAGTGCTATCTGCTATATTTCACTCGCACGCCGTTTTTTTCCGGCAAAATGCGCAGCCATGTCTCCCGACAGCCGGATCATGTCTGCATTGAGCGAATCTGATCGAGAGCACCTGTATGAATGGAGGTAGAAAACCATTTATATTTTGATCGATTGGTATCGAAGACTGAAATTTTTTCATACTACACATCACAGTCATCATGTTTGCCGTACACATCTCCAATGTCTAATGTTTTTCAGTTCTTCTTTAACGTTTCTGGTTATGGTTTTTATGGTAAGCGTTCAGGAGACACGCTTCATTTTCAGATGCCTTGTTCAAGCAAGTTAGCTTCGAGTCGCTTCTTCTCTGTCCAAATGCGAAGCAGCATTCCTTGGAAGTAGGCAGAGTTCATGCTGTAGTATGCTTCTTATCATGCTGCCGTTCGATTTCAGTTTCCTTGGTACACACCTTGTCACAAACTGCTCTCTGCAGTGCTCTCAGATATGCCAGCAAGACCTTCATAACGTTATTGCAGGAACCTGCACTGGCTGGGGATTAGCCACATGAGAACTGGCACGATAACAATTGCTGGGGTTTTACATCCCGAAATCATGCCATTATTTTAAAAGACGCCACAATGGAGAACTCCAGAAACTTTAGGTTTCCTGGGATTCTTTGACGTGAATCTAAACCTAAGCACAGGAGCCTCTATCGAAGTGCGGTCCTCAAATCCAGGATTTGACCCTGCAACCGTCAAATCACTACTCGGGCACCAGAACTGCTGAACCACCACAGAAGGCACCAGCATAGGCATGTACTCTATGCTTACATAAGCAGCAACCATATTGCATGCAACAGGCATGTAGTTACAAGTACAAGAATTGTATGTGCATTCTTCTGGCGGTAGCTTTACAAAGCATGGCCTTACTACATTGCTCTGCTGTGCAGCAATACATGTTCCTTATCCATGGCATCGAAGAAGCACCGTGCTTTTGTGGCTAACAAAGCAGCAGGCTTTTATGTTTTCTTTGTTAATGGTTACTAATAGCCTGTTTCTGGTTTTGCTAATTAATTTTTTTATGGCAAGGGGACGTGTATAGGTGGTTGTATTTCGATGTTTTTATAAGGGCTGTTTCACGGCTTTATTTTTTAAATTTCTCCAGTTATTTCCCAAGTCCAAAAATGTGCACAGTTTAAAAAAGTGCCAGACGAGCAGCTTTATTTAAGCACTTGTGACAATACTGCCGGTGACTGTTATTATAGGTTGTTGGTATATTTATTTCTATTTTCGAACCTCACAATTGGCTGGGCCGTTTTCTTACTAAGTGGGAACTGGCCTATTGCAAGGAAGGTTTATTGTTGATTGTTTTACTTGTTACTTTTTCAATTTATATTCTTTTGTTTTTAATTTTTCCCGTCTGGAAGTTCACTGGGAAAGTATATTTTTTGTTGTTGCTTTACATTAACTAGAAAGGTGTCTAGTTGGTAAGAAAGAAGTAAAAGTTATTTTTTATTTACATTGTCTTTAGTTAATGTTACTTATGTAGCATATGATTGTGCATCTGTACATAGTTTGCGTTCTTTTAATTTGGTGTGTGTAATTGTTTGTATCAAGGCAGAAAAGGAAAAAGCAGTTAGAGGTGGTCGGATGTGCAGGTGCTTAAATAAGACTGCTTGTTGAGGCCAAAGCGTGTGCCTTCGTGTTTTTTTTCCCTTGCTTCATTGCTTCCGACCTTGAATGTTTATGAGAAGTATGATTAAATGCAGAATTATCTAGCCTGGATGCATCCACATAACCATAACAATCATGTCTTTAGCGTGACCTAACTACATGCCAGGCATATCTGCTTTGTGTGACACTATCTGTGCCTGTCACAGCGCAGAAATTGCCGCACGTGATGTGTATGCATCGACGCTAGATGCCATCACATCGGTAATCGTTTGTATATGCTGTCCTGATTACCTACTGCTTTACAGCTTGCTACTAGCTGTGGTCATAGTGAGGCTAAATCAGAAGGCTTGAATGAGGAGTAAATGACTCCGAACCTCTGTGATACTACTATCTTGGACTAAAATAACAGCCAATGTGCTTGTGGTCTGTTTAGTCCAGCAGTCTGCAGACTGAAGTGCTGGCATCGAACTTGTGTTGGCATGCATGTTTCATCTTTCAGAACTTCTCGCTCTCTCCCCATTTCGTATCCTCTTCCCCAGGTGCCGAGGAAGGTACTTCTTGCACTCCAACCTCTGCACCCTCCTCAAGCTCTTTCCTTATTTTGATCCTAACGTTTGTGGAAAATTTGTGGGCTTTCCGCAAAGTAATAAAAAAAAAAATGTCAAACATAAGTGCGTCCTTTTTTTCTTTTGCAGTAGCAATTATATTCACTTGGCGCATTTTGGGGGGCAAAGCACCTTAGGGGTGAGGCTGCACCGGTGGCCGGATATCACGATTACATTATACGAGACAATGCACAGGTAACATACCGTAATGTGAAACACACGAAAAGGTTGAACAATAAACATAAGTAAATCAGGTTATGATTTCCTTATGTTTTCAGTTCTGATTCATCCTTTTGCTAGTTGGTCAGTTCAACGTAGACATTGCGGACTTAAGACCCAGCTTAGCCCCCCTCATGGTTCACTTAAGAGAGATGCATGGATTTTTTGTCGTCTGCGTCGCTGTAATCGAATACATATGAAGTACAAAGCAATAAAATATACCTTCAGATCATATTTTCTCTGTCGGGGGGTCTCGAAACTAGCGTCGGGCAGTCGCGAACTTAGGTCCAATAAGGGCTGGAGCAGTGAACAAAGTTTGAATGGGGCAGGGGGCGTCAATAGCATGCTACCTGAAAACATTGGATGAATTCGTGCATAACTAATAGCTGGCCTAGTTGGAACGAATTCATCGTTTAGCCACTTGGCACAAAAGGAAGACGAAGGCAGGGGTACTTGCAGATGAGCGCAATTGAACTGGTTTATTTTTGAAAATACATCCGCTTAAGTACCCAACGTTATCTGCGCGATCTAAAAAAATATGTGGCTGATCCTTTCAAGGAATCTGAACAACATGAAGGTGAAACATGTCTTCACAGAAGTAGTTGAGCGTTTTATGGTGCATTGTTTCGCCACAGAGGCGGAGGAATGAATGTTACAGCAACAAACTGCAAAGTCGCGCGAAGAACGACAAGCAGCTCACAACTTGCAGCGCGCACCTCAAGCAGAATGCACCCTACGTAATGAGCACACAAAAGACGTGTGCAGAATGGCAACTGTTACTCTACTCTTAAAGCGCCCTGCTCAAAGACGCACGAAACGAACGCTCAAGGGTACACAGGACGAGCGCAAACAATTGCCATAATTATGCGTGTAAGAGCAGCGTGCTACTTTCGTAGACGGGGCCGTGGCAGCGAGCGAAGTGACCTTGGTGACCTCCCAAATCACGAGATAAGCGCGCGCGCCGGAGATACCATGCCCGGTGGATCGAAACGCGAGACGACGACCTTTAGAGCGCGCCCCTACCGTGAACCAGTTGCGCCATTTCGCTACTGATGACGAAAACAAGCTTCAGAGACAGAGCTCCGAGGAGGACCGCCAAATGGTGCATGGTGTATTAAATCGTTTGCTGTTAAAAGTACTAACAGCGTTTGCTCCATGGCCGATTGGTTAGCGTCGCGCGCTGCAGATTGGGAGGTGGCCGGTTGTATGCCCCAAGACGGAACTTTTCCATCTTTTTTTGTTTGAAACCTGTTATATACTTATCAACGTCATATCCGTGGCGGAAGCACGTCAGCGGCGCCGTGGTGGACCCCAGCATGAAATACTTTCGTGTTAAAAAAGGCTCGAAAAGACGTCAATAAAGTACTTGCAACTTCTCGTTCTGTAGAACGCGGCGCAAAGCCACTATGCCACGAAACGTCCAATGTCAAGTCCGCTAACGGCAAGCTATTTATATACACCATTTGGCTATACTCAGAGCTCCGCAACTTCCAGCATGTTTTCGTCATCTGCAGCGTGATGGCTCGAAGGGTGCGCGTTCGGTAGAGTTACTTTATAAATGTATCATATACAGGAACTCTCGCGGGGCATGGTCTCTCCTGCGTGCGCGCATATCAGACTCTTGATTCCAGAGAGCACGAATGTCACTTCGCTTGCTGCTGTGGCTGCGTTTACGAAAGGAGCACGCTGCTTACATACGATGAAGTAAGAACTGTGACATTTGTTTGCGCTCGTCCTGTGTGTACCTGTGCGTTGGTTACGTGCGTCTTTCTGTTAGAACAGCGCTTTGTAAATGTCGAACTGCGACAGTTGTTAGTCCGCGCTTGCCCCGTGTATGCTCATTTGGTGCGTGCTCCTGCTTGAGCTGCGCGCCGCGAGTTTCGCGCTGCTTGCGTTTCTTCGTGTGACATTACAATTTGTTGTATCATTCATTCCTTCGGCGAAGCAATGCAGAAGGCACACTCAACTGCCTCCGTGACAACTATCACTTTCGTGTTATACGAACTCACAAACAGAGGAATCAGCCACGTACTTAACTATCATCCTGAACCCCTTGGCGAAATTCTCAGCCGCATTCCGCACCTTGGGAGAGGCACTTAACGCCGACGATATAATGGTTTTGACTACGCTCGGATGGTACTGCTCATACGGTTCGGCCTTGAATATTCCCCACAAAGTCAGCACTCTTCACAATCACTACACTGCCCTCATCACTATCACAATCCAAGCGCACCGCGTCCCTATACTGCCCTCATCACTGTTTGCATAACACTCCCGTACAGTAGACCCTACACTCCGAATTCTCGGCCTGTACAGGACACGGAGAAAAAAAAGAAGCATTGCTCTGAAAGCACTAACAGTATATCCACCATTTTAGAAGGGTTTCATGTTCCAGCGTAAGTCTAGTACGAAGCACACAACTTTAAGGTGCTACGCAGCTCCATGAGGTTCTCTGCTTTTACATGCACAAATGCGTGTACATGCATTTGTGCTTTGTAGTATTTTCTATATGCTTCTCCTTACTAGACCTTATTCTGTACGGATAAAGGTAAGATCAACGCTCTAATCCGCATGACTACCAAAGCAGCCCTTAATTCCCCCCCCCCCCCCCCTCAAATGCTACTACGGGTAGCATTTGAACCCGTGTACTCGCACAAACTACAGAATTAGCCTCGCTCGCTCGTGACATGCGCTCTGCACTTGTCACCAAACCTCTCCCCAGGAATGTCCACCCAGAATACCATTACTTTCTTCGCGTAGCGCGAGCAGAAACTCTTCACGAGTAGTATGGCACTTAAGATGATGTGCGCTGGGTAGATTCCGCGCGAGATCCAGACCGTGCAGTAGCTGTAGCTTATAATCCTGCAGCCACCCACTTCTTCGACCCCCAACCCAACCCTGTACTCCGGAGGAAGGAGAGGAAGCTGCTGTAGCTTAGCGATCGCAAAAAACCAACACCGCTTATACGTACTTAGAAATTAAAAAGCAGCCCCTCCTAAATTTTACATGCTCTCTCTCGACGCTTTCCAGAAAATAATTCTAGATCCAGTGCACGCACCCCTTGCCTTTACGTACGTGTCATCACGTGATCCTACATGTCTGTTCTGTAAAAAAAAAAATTCAAAAGTTCTAGGAGAGATTTCACTGTTATCTCACACGTGATGCGGAAGGCAGCTTATTCGTTCGCCTTTGCAATGTAATCATTAACACAGCGAATAGAGGGTCGTTGCGGCAAGGAGTAAAAGGGCCTTAATGTTTATACTGAACCAACAGTGGCAACCACTGATACTATCTGGTGCCAGGGGCGGGTCCAGCGACTCGTTTCAGGGGGGGGGGGGGGGCGAGGGGGCTGTCGCTTCAGACAACGCCAAAAGGAGGGGTGCCCTGACCATTTTGTTTTTTTTTTAGTACGAAAACACTGTCATGGCATAAAAAAATTCGGCAGATCCTACGCACCTGGGAATAAATGCTATGCGAAGCATGCTGAAGGTAAGGTGGCCACGTTGCAATTTTTTTATTGAGCTACACGTCACGAAATGACGCTTAATATAGGTACAAATGATGCACGCACAGACATAAATTGAAGAGTTGTAGATGGTTACATAACCAGTTGTTTGCACTTGCGCGATGCCACCTGAAACATGCGTATTAGAAACACCAGAAGCGAATATGAAGCACTGATGCTCGCGAGGGTGGTAGCCCTGAACACTTCTACATAAATCAACTTCAGCGCATATGGCAACTAACCACAATTGACGTTAACCCGACGTGACGGCTCTATCAAAGGAGCACATATGTAATTTTCATAAAATTCAGTATAGACAGCACTGCAACCACTATTGATGTTTTACGATGACTGACGTCTATTTGAAAAGTAGTTCCGAGACCTGGCGTAGCTCTATGGTAAAATGCTTCATTGCCACGCAGAGTGCTTGGGTTCGATTCTAGCTGAAACCCTGACATTTATTGTTGGCATTCGTCGGCTCGACGCTACTGATATCGGGTATTTCTTGACGCTCGCGCGTTAAAATTGTCCATGTGTGTTCTCGTCGTTCCTGGGTACATACTCAGTGTCAATTACCCGTGGCGCATACCCGCATACCAGCGGTACATACCCACCCCTGGGTTTGTGCCACTGTCTGGCGGGAAGTGCTTGACGACGTACGCGACGGGACTGGGATATTATTCATGTCTTGACCAGCGCATCATATTCGTCAAACCATCTTACCCTCACACGCTAATTTTGGTTTACGTAACATTAAGGGGGTGACCTACGAGAGCGCCCAAACGTTAGCGGCTAGATAGATAGATAGATAGATAGATAGATAGATAGATAGATAGATAGATAGATAGATAGATAGATAGATAGATAGATAGATAGATAGATAGATACGCTCAAAGTCGCGAAAGTTCGCTAAGAAATGCTTCGCATTTAATACTGTTAAAATATGCTCTATAATGTATACTCAATGTTCTAATTGGTGATAGGAAGTGGATGACAAGCACTAAAGAGAGGGGGGGGGGGGGAGGGAGCTGACACACGCTTGGGAGGGGCGGTCGCCCCTACCGTACACCCTCTCTGGATCCGCCATTGTCGAATGCCCAAAAGTTAACAAGGCAGTCATAGTTGTCCAAAACGAACGGGTCTTTTACTACCAAGGAACTCAACATTTTCTGCAGGAATCCCAATACAAGAACCTGGAAGGCCCTCTCCACGACACAATTGGCTTAAAAGGAATGCCTTCCTTGTGGGTTTTAGCAGTGAAAAAATATGTTGAATTTTGATCTGTATGAGTTTTTTTTTCTTCTAATACGAGCTTATCTTGGTTGCTCTCTTTTAGTAGATC